CGTTTGAGTTTAGGCCGTAGCTTCTTCGGCTTAGGGTTTAAGGTCATCAAGGTCCATCCTGCTTTAGAGTCTTAGCTCAGCCGAATTTCAATTATTCCGAGCAGTGGTCATTAGGGTTTGAGGATTTAGGGCTTAGGGATGTGTAGGTATGCAGAACCTCATTAGGAGAGGATCCGTTGGATTCCATTCATGCTGCAGCATGAAGTTTATGGCGGAGTATGTGGAATTTGTCCCGGAACCCTGTTCTAATTCTTATGGCTCTTGTTTCAACCCTACAGCGCCTGTCGAAAACAGTCTTGAAAAAAACACGTAAAGCCCGTCTAAGGAACAGCTCATAGAACGCTACACTGGATTTCAAATCACACTTTGGCAAAAACCATAAACATCAAGGATTTATTGATTTACTTTTTTCGTAGAACATGGGGGTGGGGGGGCAGAAATCCACATTGGAGGGCCGGGATCTTCGGTGTCTTGGGTTCAGATACAACAGTGTGGAGCTCTTTTTCTCACAGGATTCAGGGTTTAGCGTTTAGAGTTGCAGGTTTAGGATCTAAGGTTCAGAGTTTAATTGGGTTGAGTTTTAGGTTTCAGGCTCTTGAGAGCGCTTACTTGGCAACTTTGAAGAGTAAACCCGAAATTACGAAGCTTAGACATCGGGAACCCGAAACTCGAAGCTTTGTATCTTTCAGCCTCAATCACCAAAGCATGTCCCCTGAAGATGTTTGTGCAACTGCAAGCTCTAGGTTGACTTGAGCAACGTAGTCACCCTGAAACTAAGGCGTTTGAAACCCTCTCAGACCCGAAAACCCTCTACTGCTAGCACTCCAAAACCTCTTAGGCCTAGAAGCCGATGGAAATGGGAGGCATATATTATATTGCTTGAGTGAGATCCTGAGATGCTAGACCCTAAACCTCGAACTCCCTGAACCCCCTTTAACCCCCGAAACCCCTTAAACCCCAAACACCCAAACCTTAACCCACCCCAAAGCACCCAAACCTTAAACCCCAAACCCTAAAGCCTAAACCCAAACCCTTCAAAATTATAGGTATATATTCTTGTTAATTGAACCACATATTCCCTTTACTGAAGACCAAAAAAAAGTCAAAGTAAAGCGGTGGTTGGAGTTTGGAGCTCAGGAGTCAGCGACTGTCGAGGCACTGGGCTGGCCTGCCATTAGACATGCCTACGCTTCCCAGTAACTCAGTAGGGAATGGAAGGGGCCTTATACAGTTACTATAAGGGACCTATAAGGGTACTATAATATAGGTGCCTTAGTAATTCTATAGCTTACCTTTGGTTAGTAGGGAATGGAAGAATGGTCGCAATAGTTGTAATTGTACCCCATTCCTCGATTCCCTACTAACCCAAGGTAAGGTAACTCAATAGTACTCTACCATGATTTGCCTTCGTTGGTTCTTTGAGTTGTCTTACTATTATGATTTAGGATTGTTCATGGCTTAATCCTGGCTTCCCAGTAGTACCCCTTTCTTCATCCTTTGTGTTCGGGGCCTTCCTTCTGGAGTACTTGGAGGGTCGGGGGACTTAGTAACTGGTTATTTTAGGGACTTATAAGTACCATAACCCCAATTAGGGTCCCTTTTAGGGTACTTATAAGTCTACTTACTACCTACTTACCAAGTCCCCCGACCCTCCAAGTAAGTACAGCAGAAAGACAGAATCCCATTGATTGCACTACCGGTGCGCCAGGATAAATCGCGGTGGCTTTTCGTGTTTGTTAGCTGCTGGTGTCAGACAGTAAGGGCCCATACCCAAGTAGTATATGGTTTTCTTCCCAAAGTACCCAACATAGTGCATAATTTCTTCTCAAAGTACCCAAAATAGTGTATAATTTCTTCACAAAGTACCCAAAAAGGATTTACTTGAGGGCCAAAAATTGGGTACATGGATCCTTCGGGAGATTGCTGCTATTGGTACGTTGCTAGTGCTAACTCTTCTCTTGTGTTTTTTTGCTCCCAGGGGCCGTGGGTGGTGTTCGATTCATGGTCTAGGGATCCGGAGTTTATCATTCAGGATCTCGGGATTTGGGTTGTACTTGTGATTGCAAGAGTCTGCAGAACTGGTTGGGGCTGAGGTCGGGAGTCGTGGGTTTACTCGTGAGAGATTTCGATTGCAGTATTGGGCATCGAAGGCTCGACCTAGCCTCACACAGACGTCTCGGAAAGCCTCAACGCTTGAAACGGTAGTTTTGGAACCCTAAGCCGTGTACCTCCTAAAACCTGAGCCCCTCGACCCTAAACCCCGAAGCGTTAAACTCTCAACCTAGACCCTCAGCCGTGAAGCCCTTTAGTCTGCGACGCTCCTGGCTGCAGGCAAAGCCGAAACAGCAGCAGCCTCGTTTCGAAGTGTGTGAGCACGGCAGTCTCGAACCGAACTACATAAATGACAATACGTGTTTTTGAATGTAATGAAGAATAGTATTCCGTCGGGTTTCTTATCATGATGCTACAAATATACGAGTCACAATAGTTGGTACTAATCTCCCCGGGCTCAGTCCTCGTCGATAGTTTATGTGAACTGACGGCCCCCTGCGTGTCCTACAGTCTCCATTGTGTCGTGATTTAGTTCGGGTACAACATGCTTTTCGTAATCGGTTTTTCAGTTCTCAGCATAAGCGGAACTGCAATGGAGACGACAAGTGATCTATTCCAAGGATTAGAATTTAGGGATTCAGCGGCTAGGGTTCAATGTTCAGCGTCTAGGGCTTTTGGTTTGGCACCTAAGGTAGAGGTTCGGGATTTTGGGAGTTAGAATGCAGGGATGATTCTGAACTTGAAGGTATTCGGGAGCCTCTTTCAGTAACTTTCGAACCTTCAAAACCGAAACACTAGATCCCATCCTCTCAGCCGTAGGCAGAGGCCCTAGGGCGTAAACCCCTGCAGCCGTAAGCCCTGAACCCAAACCCCTGCATCACTCAAGCCCCAATGTCGTTCAAGATGATGAACTTAGGTGATCAAAATGAAGATGCTGATGTTGCTGTTGATGTCGATGATGATGACCATGATGGCGGTAATGACGGTGTTGATGATGATGGCCCCCGTGACAATCCGGATCACGATGATCAGGGCCCGACAGCTCTTCGTCTCTACGCTGTCTTTTGCACCACCAACCCACCACCAAGTCTTTTAGTGGTCGGGATCTTTATTCTCTGAAATTTCCGGGAAGTTAGGCTCAGCGTGGTGTGTGATTGAACGCTTGCATCGCAGCCGCCCTAAACTATAGCCGCAGTAGTAGAGTAGTAGTGGTGGTAGTAGTAGTAGTAGTAGCAGCAGCAGGAGTAGTAGTAGTAGTAGTAGTAGTAGTAGTAGTAGTAGTAGTAGTAGTAGTAGTAGTAGTAGTAGTAGTAGTAGTAAAAATAACAATTAGTAGACAATAAAAAACACTGCGTGCGCCGTCAAAGGTCCAGCAAAGCAAAGTCAGTCTTGGCACAATCCACGGCCTCGGCCCTGCCATGTCCTATCAGGTCTGGATGAGAGTTTCCGATACTTCGGGGTGTACTTTGGGGTTACTTGGAGGATCATGGGACTTAGTAAGTATGGTTATAAGTACCCTAATTGGGGTTATGAGTAATTATAAGTATAGTTACCCTAATTATAACCCTAGTTACTAAGTCCCATGATCCTTTAAGTATGATAAGGATCCTACTATTTAGGGTGCTATCTTGGGTTCCCTTCTCTGGGAAACACCCCTATCATGTCTGGATGAGAGTTCAGGGCTCTGGGACAACGCTGAGTAGCGGAAAAACCCTGGATCCCTAAAGCTCCCTACAGCCCCTAAACCATAGGGACCCTTATAAGGGGGAGGGGGGTAGGGGACTATACTTCCTTAACTTGGCCTTGTTGAGTACTCATTATAGGCATTAAGGCTGCCCTTTTGGTTTTGGGGTTCCCCTATTGAAACCGAATAGTAGGAGAAAGGGTACCCTTATTATAATTGGGCTACTCAGGAACCTAGTTGCGGAAAGCACATACTTCCTGTAACCTTAAATACCCAGATCTCACAAGCCTCCAGTGCTAGCTAACCCCGTCCAACCAACCCTTGAGACGTTTTGAATCATAGCTGCTGGAGTTCTCCCCTGCATTGATAGTCTTGGTTTTGCTTTGAAAGGGTGTGTCCAAGCACCTTCAACCCTACATCCTTATCTACATCCTTACACACGCCTAAACCCCTAAACCCGAAACAGCAACCAACCCTAAAGCCCACAGCTAGGAAGGGCACGAGGACCTCAGGTAAATGGCCCAACACAGCCCTAGAGCGTGAGCCAGAACTCAGAAAGAGTTTAGGGATTTGGGCTTCAGGGTTTTCATTTTGGGGCCTTCAGGGTTTGAGGAATGTCGACTTTAGGGCTTAGTTGAGGGCTTTTGTTCTAGAGTTCATGGCCTTAGCATCCTCGCATGATTGCCTTGGACCTTGGCGTCCCTAAGCAGCTCAAAGAAGCTTGCCTGAGGCACCTTCTCTAAATCTTTCAGATTCAGGGCGTTAGGGTGTGGGTTTATCGGGTTTTGGGCTTTACGGTTTGGGATTAGGGTTTAGGGAGATTGGGAACTCTATGCCTGCTGCTGCCACTTCAAGGGATTTGGACATAGCAAAAGCTCAAGGTACTCGAGGCCACTCTGACATGCAGACGTAGGCCTTCAACCCCGACACCTGCCCCCTTGACGGCTACAAAAGCCCAAAGCCTCAAACCCTCTAGCCCACCAAAACAAGGCTGACAGCCCTGTTCAGTCCTGCCCAAGCTCACATCGATTGCAATCCACCCTCTATGGAAGTGCAGAACCAGAAAGTAGCACTGGAGTCACGGGGGTGGAGAGTTGATCCTTGTGCAAGTGAGCCTTATGCTGCTGCATCTAAGCTGCAAGCTGTAAGAGCCTCATATTCGGGGCGTAGGGTTATAGGGCATCCGCACATTCATAACTTGAACCAGGCGAGTTGATAGTTCTTGCTCCTAGTGCGGCATGGCCCGGCATAGTCTCCTGGTACTATGCAGCGAGTGCGCAACCGACGGCCACACAGTTGCAAGTATGTAGCGTGGCGCATGCCACCCACCCACCCCGGGAATATAAGCCTGGTCCTGTGAAGCCATACTTGAATGCTTTTAGTTTGACCTGTTGCTCACAGACGCAGTATGAAGAAGGTTTATGCTTTTGCTCCCTGGCTATTCCAAGGTCCAGTAAGCTTTTCGTACCGACTATAGGGTCCCAACTTCCAATTGCCGAGTGTGTAATGCGTGAGCTTCAATGTTAGGGTTCGGCTGGCAACCTTGGCTGCTTCTAACCTACATCTACTGGTCGGCAAGCGATGGTTTCATGACGGATTGTTGGGTTCTTCTATGGTTCGCTGAGTTAGCAGCGTGGCAAGGCATATGTGAGGCACCTTGCAATTTGGGCGTGCGCGTACGAGGTGTAGAGGGTGAGTTTAGGCAGGTTTAACAATAGTATATAGTTACACTAATATTAATTATCATCATAGTTCGTGGAGGTTTAAGAACAGTATATAAGAAGAATAATAATAGGGTGTTTCTGCGTGTTGAACATAGGCACATCAACACTGCGCTCAAGTCTATGCTGATAGCTTCATAAATCGAGTTTGCCGGCTCCGCCTTACCTCTCAAGCCGTAAGCCCTATGCCCTAAACTCCCACGTCCCCAAACGCTTGAGCTCCCAAATCCTCCTCGTCTTTTGAGTTGATTCTTTTGTGCACGTATAGAGATTTTCTTCGAGAGTTTAGAGTTTAGGGTAGGTTATTGTTCGAAACCTCAGTGGAAGAATTGACGGGTTTAGCGACAGGGGCTTTGCATTTAGGGGCTGCAAGGTTTTGGAGTTTGAACCTCGCCTGGTCGTGTGCATCCATCCATCCGCCCATCCAGCTAGCCCGCTAGCTACCCACCCAAGTATGTTCCACCCATTGTTGTATTTGTATGTGTACATATATAAGATGCATACATACATACGTACAAACAAACAAACATACATACATACATACATACATACACATATAAAATGTATATTATATACATGCATACATTATATTTGTATACATTTATCTGTATGTGTATACTTACGAGTTTATTTTTATTCCCATTTATAATACATATGGATATAGATATAAATATAAATATAAATATATATATATATACACACACATAATAAGTATCGTGGAGAACGGGGCTTCCCGAGGAAGCTGCTCGGATCGTCGTCCAGCGAGTCCAAGAAGCCCAGGATCGACTGCAGCAAGGCGAGTAGAGAACCCTAGTATAGGGTTTAGGGTTTAAATATATTTTTGGGGAATTAGGGTTTGGGGTTCGCTACTGTAAGATTCCTTAAAGATACCCATTTATAGAATCCTATAGAGAGCCGTAAAGGAGACCCAGGTATAGAACCCCATGAACCAGGTATAGAACATTTTCACCCCTTGCAAGAACCGTAGTGTAGAAGCGTGTCGATCCCGTACAGAGCCCTAGTACAGACAATGATGCTACCAAATGACTCCTATTCTTAGGCGCCCTCAGGTTGAGCCTGAGGAGCTTCCGAAGCCGATACTATAGGATCCGCTGTTAACCTTTAAGCTGGCGGGCCTGACAGCACCCCGACACCCGGGAGGATCTAGAAAGTAGATCCCCTAGTTTGGGGCCCTATACTGCTAAGGGTACTTTATAGGAACCTCCATCAAGAGATCTACTTTTTGGATCCTCCCGCGGGTCTGGTTAGAAGCCCAAAAGTTGGAAACCCAATAGCCTCAATCCGTGAGAGTCGCAAATCCCGACACTAACCGTCCTTAATCCGATTTCCAACTTTTGGGGGTTTACTGTAGATCAAGCTGCGACAAAGAGATCGGGGTGATCTTCGAGTGGGTGCTTGAGCAAACCTTGCAGAGTCGTATTACCCTGAACCCCAGATGGCTGATCCCTAGACCTCAAGTCCTAGATTACCCCCAAGAATCCGACTGTGAGCGCGGCAAGCCTTCAACAGCGAATGAACACGAATGACCTTTTGTCCAAGACCCTCAAAGCTCTACAGCTGAAGCTGTAAGCGAGTCTAGAGCCTGCCACCTGAACTATCATCCGTCCCCGGGTTTCAGATAATGTAGGAACCTGATTAAGAAACCCTGGCCCGATAACCCCAAAATAGTAGGGTTCATATAAGGAACCCTAACAAAGGCCCAGGGTTTTCTAATCGGGTCCTACATTAGTAGTCAGCGCCTCTCGCCAGGCCTTTCGCCCGCTGGAACGAGCGCAGACTCTGGAGCACTCCTCCATTCCAATCCCGGCATCAACTCCCGTCTCATCCCTGCCACCCACCACGGACGACAAGGTGGGCCATTGATCTCTGAGAGTTTTGTAGGGTGCTTGAAAGAAGGTGGTCCCCAAGAAGGTCATCTGTCCCTCTTTCGCATCAGACACCCTCCCCTTTGAGCTCGTACGTGCTGGGTAAGTTCAGCGTTCGCGGTTTCGGGTTTTGCAGTTTAGGGCTGTTAGGGCTTTCGGAGTTTAAGGGCTTTTGTGGTTAGGGGTGGCGCAGCTGAAATGAGGGGCCATGGTCTGCGGGTACCTGGGATTTCTTGTGTGACAATGCAAAGTACATGATCCCCATGTACAGCACTACAATGTCACTACAGTACGGCGGTGTAAACAACTGTCACGACCACAGAGACAGGAGTTCAAAAAAAAGACTCCAGAAGCTGCATAAACCTCATTTAGATATCTATCTATATCTGTTGGGTACTGCCACCACTCCAGTTGAATATTATTTGTAACACAGATAAAAAAGGCCCTTTATAGTGGTCCTATTATGGACCGCTACAGCGTGGGGGCAGTACCCAATAGATCTGCGTACAAAACTCATTGACCCTTCTTACTCCAAGCCACAGAAAGCCAGAGTTGTGCAGGTCCGCCTGCCTTTAGCAGCATCACAGACGTCTGCAGCCGGGACAACTGCTACTACTTCGGGGGATGTCCAGCGACAGTGGTGACCAGGTTGCGTCACATGGGGTATAGTAGAGGTTTTCTATGGAGGTCTAAATCATCCTTTATCGTTCAAGTATCTAGTCCTTTCACAAACACGCTACAACCCACCCAAACCCTGTTCTAAAAATCAAGGCCCCTATACTAGACCTCCAAACCCTTCGAGGAACTCTGTCCCACTTCTAGGCCACTGTTTTCAAATTTCAAGGGGCTGCGGCTCGCCGGGATTCCGCACAGCCGTGCCCGTAATGGTCTACCTTAACCCTGAATAACCTGCCTTTTTAGGGTTCCTTACTATGATTTCCTTATATACGTCGTGACACCTTGTCCCAAAATTCAGAGGCAGCGAACGAAACAGCCCTGAGGGGCTAGATAGCTACAACAATCCTAAGTCAGCTCTTACAGGAAAGCAATAGCAGCCCCAAGACCCTGCTTTCCTGGCTTCTTGCTCAGGAGTTTAAGTTAAGTTACCCTAATAGGGATCTGAAGTAAATAAAATGGATTCCTTATTATGGTAGTTTTTCGAAAAATCCCTTAACAAGAATCCAGTCTCAGGCATTCTGTGCGAGTTTTGACTATGGCCTTCCATGTCGTTCTCAGGGGTGTCGTAAAGTTCGAATTTAGGGTTAAAGGTTGAGGGTCTGTAGGGTTTAGGTTTTATGCTTTAGGGCTTTTGGGGTGTTAGGGTTTAGGGCTAGGTTTTGCACTGGATTGTGAGAGCTGCCAAGACTACGACTAAGGAACGATGGCTCAGGCATGCCGGCATGTCTTCCCTTTGCTTGAGGCTTCTTTCGCAGTGCTAATGCGAGGTTGAAGGCTTCTCGGCCTTAGGGCAAGGGTTTGGGGATTTGTGGTTATGGTTTTTGGTCAAACTACAGCAGGGGGCGCTATAGACCGAGGTTCCTCTGTAGGTCCCATCGTTGTGTGAGAATCAGGAGTGCAACCGAGGGTTGTAACTGGATGGGTAATGACACCATACAATAAAGTTCATCTCACAGTTGCCACTGAAACTCAGAAAGAAAGCCCAAAAGCCATTCGAGAATCGAAGCCGCAAAGGAACGACGGATTCGGAAGAAGGAGCATGTGGGGTAAAACTGCTGACAGCGCAGGAACGACCATAAAGATTTGTATAACGATATCGCAGGTCTCTCTCCATGTCTTCACGTCCACCTGGACAAGTGCTAAGAGAACCCGCAGCACTGGCCTCAAAGCCTTAATTAACAGCCCACACGGATCGATAATATGAAACTAGAGCTCGGAATAGCCAGCAAGAACAACGCATGTTCCGTGATTTTGCCAAGTCATGCTACCAAAAGCACGCAAGCCCCTAAACCTAAAGCCTATAGCCTCAACTCCGAAACTCTTAACACGCGGATCTTTGGGCCCGAAACGCAGATCCACTACAATGCGCAAGCTTCAGTGCCATTTTATCGGGGTTACAGGGAATTATGCTGCGATAGTAGTCCGCCATATTCGTTTCTTAGTGTAGATACTACTGTTTTGAAGATAGTTCGAGGTCCTCCTATTGAATCCTTATGGAGCCAGTAATTCTGCAACCTGTTCCTCTGCCCCAAGCCAGATGCCCGGGGTACCGTTGTGGAGAAGCTGCGCGATCGCTTGGATTCCTTGCGAGATCCGAGGCCAGGTCGCTGGGGTTTGGAGTACCATACTTGAATACTATCTTTGGTACCTGTTCCTTAAAGGAGCCATTATGAAACAGAAGTCTATACTTTTTCTCCCTGGCTACTTCAGAGTCCAGGCTCTTTTCGAAAAAACAGTGTTAGGGCTTAGGGTGCAAAGAGGGTTTAGAGAGGAAGAGGGGTTTAGGGATTTAGGTTTAAGGGTTTAGGCTTTGTGAACATTACGGTTGTTGTAGGCGGGACAAACCCCTGCCAAGGCCTGCCTTCAACAGTCTGCGGTATAACTTCCCTCAGAGCCACTGTGGCTACACAGATCCGTATAGTTTATGGCTACGGCCTGAATTCGTGTGGCTGTTCAGTTTTGTGAGGTTGACTATAAACCTCCTAGCCTCGTCCCGAAATCCGAACCCCTAAACCCTAAACCCTCCTAAACTTAGACCCTAAACCTTAAAAACCAAAAACAAAAACCCTAAACCCCTAAACTCAGACCCTAAACCCTAAACCCCTGGACCCCTAAGCTTAGGCTTAGACCCCTAAACTCCTAAACTCAGAGCCTAAACCCCTGGACCCCTAAATCCCTAAACCCTAACCTGAGACCCTAAACCCCTGGACCCCTAAACCCCCAAAACTGAGACCTAAACCCCTAGACCAAACGCTTAAACTCAGACCCTAAACCCTTCAACTCAGAGCCTAAACCCTAAACCCCTAGACCCCCAAACCCCTCAACCCCTAAACTCAGAGCCTTAACCCCCAGACCCCTAAACCCTTAAACTCAGAGCCTACACCCCTGGACCCCGAACCCGACACCCAGCTCAGGCCCAAGGACCTCGACTTGGCGAGATGCGGTCATGAGCTGCGCCTTGGGGAGGACCTCGGTTTTTGTCTAAGTACCCAACGGCCCCATAGTAGTTCCTTTTTGGGGGTTCATATATAGAATCCTGTAATGTAATCCCCAAAAGGAACTACTTTGGCCATAGTAGTCCCTTTTTGGGGATGAGCTGCGCCTTGGGGAGGACCTCTGTTTTGCGCAATTGCTTAGTGGCTGACCCTTAAGGGTCCAAGTATTCAGTGTTTTAAACACTTCTGTGTTTTTCAGGTACGAAAAACCACGAATAAGGACTACTTGGGGGAGGACTTCTGTTTTGTGTAATTTCTTACCCATAGGCCCCATAGTCGTTCCTTGTTGGGGTTCATGTGTAGAATCCTACAAGGTAATTCCCGAAAGGAACACTATGGGGCCTGACTATGGGCAGTGGCTGAGTAGGTAACCCCCTAAGATTCGGTTTAGGCTCAAGCGGGTTGAAAAGGGATTTCTGAGGCCAGCTTGCCCGAGTCTCTACCAGAGCAGGCGGCCGTTGAAGGAATCCCAAGCAAAAACCGAAATTCCCGAACGTTTGCATTGTGCTGAGCTGGCAGGACGTGCTGTATTTCCCGTTCCCGCCAATGCCTCCTCAGTGCCAGGCGCTGCACAAAGCCTAGCATTCTACCGGGCTTGAGAATGAACATGTTGTTCCTTTAAGGGCCCCCTCAATCATTGCTTAAGACTTCCGTTTAGCGCTGGGTTCCGTCTCTATAGGCCGAGAAGTATAACATCGGAAAATACTGCAGGTGGACTAAAAGGCGATACACACGGTTGATGATAGAATCCCTGCATTACCTCAAGGACCCTAAACGATGGGAATTATGGTATATTCCTTATTATGGGTAATGCAGGATTTGCATCATCAACCGTAGGTGTATAAACCTTGCACCCTGCACCCTAAATAATGAGGTTTGTATGAGACAGGGTTGGCTATTTTCAACGAGCGTCTGGGGTTGCTCCAGGGCTAAAGGGGTTTTTAAAGTTCGAAGGTCTTCCTTAGATTTAGACACTACAGTAGAAGCCCAGAAGTTGGAGACCCCATAGCCTCAATCCTTAAGAGCACTCCCAGCACTGTTTGGCCTTAATCTGGTTTCCAACTGTATGGCGTTTACGGTAGGTTCTAAACCCATGCCTTCAAACACAAAACCCGGAGTCCTATACACTCTTGAGGATGAAACGGCTGCAGAGTAACCCTGTCTGAGGATGAACGTGGCGTGCCCTGGAATCCGACAGGGCGGCCTTGGTGGATGAGGCCATCGAGATGCTCAGGGACCAGGACCGAGAAATCGCGTGCTGAGCCGGCTGAGGATGAAAAAGCTGCGAAGTCCCCATCGATGATGCAGCCGAACACTACGGGGCATCAGCTTAAGGCAATTCGCTTCACGACAGCAGGCGTGCTGCCAAAAGATGCTTGTCCCCCGCCCTCTGCAGCTGCAGTGTCCAAGTTTCTTCGGAGTCCGTCGAAGTTTTTTGTGAAACTTTGGACTTTGTCAGACGGAGACATCCGGATGGCGGGGCCACGACAAAGCCCACCAAGCTGGCTTCAAGAGAGAAGAAGAAAGACAGCCGCAAGTGAGCGAGCCACTTTTGCCTGCGGACTTCGTGCAGCCACAGTCGGGCCGTGGTACATCTGCTTCCGCAGGTTGCCCCAGGTTCGTCTAATGCTCTTCAATTCGACGATCGATGTGGGAGTTTTCGAAAATTAGGCTACCTTATCTGCGGGTCCTTATTATAAGATTATAAGGCATAAGGATCCCACTATTTAGGGGACTATATTAGGGTCCCATTTTTGGAAATTCCCAGGTGAGTCTGTTGGTGTTAAAGAGAACCCTCCGATTCGCATAATCCCCAGATAGGTCGGAAGCCCGAAAGCCGTCAGGCTTCAAAAGCGTAGCCCCATAATCCCTCTCAAGGTCACCTTACCAGAGCCGTTATGATTTTTAGACAAGGGAACCTTACCAGAGCCGTCAGAGCCGTTATGATCTTTAGACAAGGGAACCTTACCAGAGCCGTTATGGGTTTTTAGACAAGGGAGGTCTTAGCCCCAAACCCCTCCTGCTCCTCCTCCTCCTCCTCCTACTACTACTACTACTACAACTACTACTAGACCCACCCTAAACCCTAGGCGGGATCATGGAGGGTAGCTGGGAGATCAGACAGATCTCCAAAGCCTACCATAGACGCCTAGATTAATATCAACATTATTCCTTAGGGTTCCTTATAACAATAACAATAACAATAAGAATATTAATAAACATATATTATTGTTATAACTACAAGTATAATGTTGTAAAGGAGCCCCAAACCCTATTCTCATTGCTGAGGCCCTTAAATTAGCTGCCAAGAAGAGCAGCCTATGAACGTCCCTGTACTAGGTCCTCGGTGTCCATTTGTGATGATTTGTAGTTGAAGATGTTCGTTTGGCTGATGACTTCCTAAACGGAGTAGAGTAGAGAACATGCGATACCCTAAACCCTGAACCTTAAACTCTAAACCTTAAACTTCATAAGCCCTAAATCACGACACCTAGAGTCACGCAACCCAATGTAGGGGTCGAAGATTTGTCAGTCATGTTCCCTGCTTGTTTTGAACGTATCTGTGGTTTAGACACAACGGCACTTATTATTCCATTCTTATGCGCAAAATCCTAAGCCTTAATGCCTACAATCCCCCGACTCCCGAGCCCGAAATCCTGAATACTTCACCAGTCGCCTCCCACTGAATTCGCAGGTTGCTGCGTATGCCGTCAGGGCTTGTGAGCGAGGGGGCATCGTCGGGGTTGCCCAGTAAAAAACAGGGCTTTAGGGTTTGGGCAGGGTTCCTTGAAGGGGTTTAACAATATTACGATTAAGTGTTGCGATGACAGTTGAGTATTGGTATCTTGACAATTCAAACAGACCTGGAAGAGTATCATTAGATGATCACCGTTAGAATCGTTAGCAATTCTTGAGGCTTCTCTATTCGGCCTTTTGAGAGGACTTGGAGGTGTAGGTGTGCAGAGTCTGGGGGCTTTAGGGCCTGAAATTTCCAGAGTCTGAGACTTAGGATTTCGTGCCTCGGGGCATGGCTTTAGGGTTTGGGATTTAGGGGTTTAGGGTTGAGGGTTTTGGGGTTCAACATCGTGGGCTTTGGGGCTCTGAGCCCCTGTCAACAGGCAGGTTGTGAGCACGTTTCCAGGTGTTGCAAGTAGTGACTACCCATAGGCCCCATAGTTCCTTTTGGGGGGTTCATATTTAGAATCCTATTATAAGGTATCCCCAAAAAGGAACTACTATGGGGCCTATGCGTATACCCCAAGGGTCCAAGCAGCTAATAATCATATTCTCTCCTAGATAATCGTATGAACCTACATAACTACTGTCCTGAACCCGAATCCCAAGTATTATTGGGTCTTTTGGACCCTTGGGGGATAGATGCAGGGGTCGGAGGTGCTATAGTAGTCAGTATCATTTGCTCTCCTCTTCTTGTCCAACCCAGCTCTAGTTCCAAGGGACCCTAAATTCGGGTAGGGTAGGGTAACCCGACTACTCCATTCTGCCGTACTCTACCCTCCGATCCTCCTCTATGCCCTACCCTACCCTACCCTACCCTGCCCACCCTACCTACACCCCCTGCTTTTCTGAACGTAAATGAAATCTTCGCCCTAAGCGCCTTGAGCCCCAAGTTCTTGAATCATCAACCCTCGACCCCTCCAAGCCTACACCCTAAAACCCCGAACCCAGGCCCCTCAACCCCAAAACCCTATCCTCTACACCCTACCTCTAGCCGAAAAGACCTACCTTTCTAGGGTTGCTCATTATGATTTCTGTATATAGCTCCTTAAAAGGGTCGGTCTTTTCGGCTACAGGTAAACCTCGAAGCCCTAAACCCCGAAACCTCTCCACCCTCCGAGTTCCTGAGGCCATGCTCCAGTCGCCTACCGGCCCGTCCCTGAGAAACAGGGCTAAGCACGGGTTCAGGATAGTTAGATCGCTTAGGGGTACTTACATATTGTTGTTCTATGTTTGGTTCTGATATTGCCTAAGAAGCAGCAAGAAGCAGCGAAAAGTTCAGTTTTTTTTGCTGGGGCTTCAGAACAGTTCGATAGTTTGTACTATCTAAACGGAGTGTGTAGTGTAGTGGCATGTATTCTAACGTGCTTTTTGTATTGCAGCGCAGTGTCATATTGAACAATGTAATGTACTGCACTAGGTGGAACTGCAATGCAATGCAATTGAATGGAATAGAATGGAACGCAACGCAGTAACCTATGAAACACCATGTACGTGTGCATGCCTGCACATGCGCATGTTGCTTCTGCACACACCAAGCATCAAACGTTTGTAGTCTCCCGCCGGAAGCCGGTAGCCCTAAGGGCCAACGGTCCGTGGATATTAGCTTTTTGGGGATTAGGATCGCGGTAGTGCAGGTGTTGAATTATTTTTTGGGGGGGGAGTGTGTACGATTATCGGGTACCTGGACCCTTAATCGGCTTTCTCTGTTAACGAGATAGAGGTATCAAGGTTTCTGTAGATAGATACACATGTGCAAGCAAAACAACGCAGTTGGCAGCGCATCATATCGGACCTGCTGTCTCGAGCAGGATCCTTTCCACGGCCCCTTGAAGCGCTCATCGGGGAGTTAGGATTAGGGGACCCTCGAGGATATAGACCCTCTCAGGAAGGCCCCTTTTAAGAGAGCCAGAAGTAGGGTTCAGAACCTTTAAGGGGTTCCCCTAATAATACTACCCATCATCGATCTTATGATAAGAACCAAAAAAGCTTGAAAGGAGCCCCAGTTTGGAGAACCATCGACATCAGGGCGAGTCCTTGAACATTCCAAGCTTTGTGACTATCGGGGCGATGGAAAACCCTATTCATGTGGGCTATGTTGTCAGAACCAGTGAATGAGCTCCCCCCCTGAAAAAACCATTGTACCTTAATTGGGATTGTAAGTAGTTTATGGTGTAGTTACCCTAATATTAACCTTAGTTCTACGTCCCATGATCCTTGAAGCTCGTGGTCATTTTAAAGGCCGAAGTCCTCCTTTCTTTGAGCTTTAGGCACCGGAAAGAGTTTGGCCCTTCTATGTTCGACACTGGCCTGGCAGAGGAGGCGCAGTGCTTCAGCGGGGTGTATCGCATGCTGAGTATAGAAGTTCCCCCAGATGTATGGTACCCGCGTCTTTGGTCACAACTTTAACGATTCAAGCAGGTCCCAGTCTGTTAAAAGAAATAGCATAGCCAGCAAAAGGATTGCCTACAGGGTTTAAGTAGGGTTTGGAGTTTAGGGCCCAGGGTCCAGTCCAGACAGACCCATGCAGAATCCATTACAGTCTTCTTAGACCCCGAAAGACGTCAACAACCCTGAATGCTTCGATGTCAGGTATGTTTATCTTATAACCGTAGAGGGAGGCTACAGTTTCTGGGCAACTGAGAATAACGTGGAACGTGAAATCTGGCCCGTGGGATATAGGCATGAGGTGACTTCGGATTCAGCAGTACACAGTTTCTTCAGCTCAGTAGTAGCAGTTTAACAAACCTTGACAGCCCCTAAATTGTACATTACCATTATGATTATGCTTCCAAATAGCTTTGTTCTGAACCCTCAGCCCTAAAGCCCTAGGCTCTGAATTCCAAACCGTCATATGAAAGCCCGTGTATTTCATCCTCGAACAGCCGAGCCTCATAAAGCTTGCCCCAGGCGATTGCAAGCGGTGGGCTCTGCTCCGCAGATTCTCTATGGTGCACCTGAAGCGGCAATGGAGCCTACATCCTGAGCCGATACCAGCCCGATGCATACAGACCTACATATACATTTATAATGTACATGCAGGCATACAGACAGATACATAGACAGACACCGACGGACGGACGGACAGACAGCCAGCCATAGAGAGATAGCACAAGCCCCGAGTCGAGCGTGGGTAGTTTCCAGACCTACAGCCCGAAGGGTCCTTCGACCTGGTGATTAGCCATAGGCCCCATAGTAGTTCCTTTTCGGGATAGGATTGTTGGCTGCTGGGACCCTTGGGGTATGCCCACATAGGCCCCGTAGTAGTTCCTTTTTGGGATTTCCTTATAGAATTCGACATATGAACCCCAAAAAGGAATTACTATGGGGCCTAGTGATTAGGAGCCAGGGACTAAGAAAGTAGCGCTTAAACTTTTCGGGGAGTGTGGGGCTATGAGGCGCTAGGACCTTTCGGACTCTGAGCCCGGGATTCGGAATCAGCCCCTCAATTTATATGGGAATTTCCGAAAATTAGGGGTACCTTATTTTGGGGTCCTTATAATACGGATCCTACTATTTAGGGTCCTATATTAGGGTCCCCTATTTTCGGAAACTCCCATGTCAGGGAGCCAAACAGCACATAAGCATAAGCATTCTATCGGGATATCCCTACCTCATTGGCCTTCCTTGTAAGGGGGGGTCCTTGTTTGTCTTACCCTGAAGAGACGGGGTTTCAAGGTAGGAGATACCCGAGTAACTTCGGGGTTCTCTAAGGATCCCTTGTAGCCTCCACCCTCTCCTAAGAATCCTGTACCTCCGCCCAAATCACACCACCTCTTCCCAAAGCCCTAACCCACAGACCAGAGCTTCAAGCTGCAAGGTACGGACGCATGCGCAGCTGAGCCAGATCGTGGCAGAGCTACGCAAATCTGCCTACAGGCGCCCATCCATCGATTTGGGCGTCGGCATGAAAACCTCAACCCCGTATGCCACACGTAATCCCTAAGCTAACCCTTGACCGTGGCAAATCCTAGAGAACCTGACAGAAGGCACTCCGACAGACCGCAGCCCCTTGACCCAAAATCCAAAGCCCTCGCCCAAAAGCATCGACTTTCCCTTTTTTGCATACTTCAGGCATGAGTCCTGAGAACTAAACTCTGAACGAACCTCGTGGATCCCGAACACTGAACCCCAATCTTAAACCCCACAACCACGAGATGCCAGAACCTAAATTCCAAACCTGTAAACAAGCTGAAGCCCGGAACCTCATGTTCTAAATTTCCGTTGAACCCTGATAGAACCCTTCTCATCAAGCCCAGCTTCCTACGTGGCCGGTTCCGCACCAGAAACCCTGTATCAACCTGAAAAGATCCATATTCCTGTGACCTATCAAGCTATATTATAGGCTGTGTAACTAGGCTTAGAGCAGTATTCCAGTTGCAGGTGGTGGCTCAGCCTTTAGTGCCTACAGAACCCTGCTGAAAGAAAGGCCTCGGATGGCTGTGATCGGCAGCCGGGACCAGCTTTGCACGAACGGCCTCGCAACCAGACTTTTCGGGATCTGTCGTGTAAGATGTTGTGGTTGTTTTTTTTGAGAGGGGGGGGTTGAGTTGAGGGGTGGGGCCGCTTTGACGTATCTGTATGTATCGATGACACTATATATCATTGTGTGCATTTTGGGTGCAGGGCTTTCAGGGTCCAGTGTGTTGGGGTTTGAACCCTAAATCCGCAACGACTTCGAACTTCGAACTGTCAAGAACTCGAAGCCACAGCTTTCACCGGAATACCATGTGCGTAGTTCCCTACAATAGGGCCCATTTCTAAGTCCTCCAAATACCACGACACCCTTATAAAAAGATTAATACCCATTCTAAATTATATCCAAGTGCTTATACGAAAATACACGCCGCCAGGGTGTGCCATACTGTAAAAAAACCCTACGGTAGAACGCCATTTCTTACAGGCCGCCGTTGAGACCCTGAAGCCCCAGGGACCAGACGGGTGTAGTCCCGCTTAGGGCATATATGCAAGACCAACAAAGCCCGTATGAAACCCTACAAAACCACAGAAACCCGGCATAAAGCCACATACATAAGTCTTCCGACAACCAGGTAAAAGCGCAGGCAGCCCAGCGGCAGGCCTTTCGAGGGGCGGGCATGGGCTTAGGGTTTCGGTTTGGGTTTCACTAAGTTTTCCAAAACCCAATATTTGGGATATTTTGATAGCATAGGTCAGCCTTTCAAATCCTTGAAGCCCTAGCTAAACCCTAAACCCTAAACCCTGATATAGACTTTGGGTCCCAAAAGGCTTTAACTATGAGTGTCCTTTGATCCTTTGATGTATGATTCTAACACACAGCATAAGGACGGTTTGAGAAGAAGCACCATCGCTGCTCTTGCAGTTTTGGGGTTTAGGGCTCGCCGTCCACTGACACTTTGACGAATGAGCATGGGCTGCACAAAGGGCCATGAGTCCTTAAACTTGTTCATGATGAGCATCGGCATCAATGGAATGAACGTTTCTACGCCTTAATCTCCATGTTGTTTGTAGGCTGTATGTTGAGACAATGCATGCCACAATGCATGCCAGCACCCATATGAACCAAAGCCGTGAAGCCTGGAGATGTGGAAGCTGTCCAAACCCAATTAAACCCGAAACCCTAAACCGGAAACCCTAAACCCTAAACCGTAAGCCCTAAACCCTAAACCTAAACCCTAAACCCTAAAACCCAGAACCCTAAACCGTAAACCCCAAAGCCTTGACCCTGCAACAAAGGAAACTGGGCCCTAAACCCCTAAACCCTGAACCCTAAACCGACCACATACTATAGGGGCCTAAATAATTGCCAAAATACTAATTTGGGGGTTCCTTATGATAATTGTACAGTATAAATTCACACCAAAACCCCATTTCAATTACAGAGGCCCTTCTATGAAACCGACACTCCGCTTTTAGGTGGCCTTGAGTCTGGCGTGTCGCCAGGCGCTCTGGGTCGCAGAGTTTGGATGTTGGGGATTTCAGATAAGCATAAGCAGTTTATAGGGATATCCCGACCTTAGTGAAGGGGGTTTATACGGGATATCCCTATCCTAATCTTTGCTTATGTGCTTTTTGTATGCCCTATCAGGGTTGCGGGTTCAGGGTTTTGCGGTTTAGGGTTTTACGGTTTAGGGGTTCAGGTTTCAGGGTTGTGGATTCAGGGCTCTGCGGTTTAGGGCTTTACTGTTGAGGCGGTCAGGTTTTAGGCTTGTGGGTTTAGCATTTTACGGTCTAAGGGTTTTGGGTTTAAGGTTTAGTGGTTTAGGGTTTACGGTTTAGCATGGTTTTGGGAATTAATTTAGGGTTTGCGGTTAAGGGGTTTGGGGTTAACGGTTTAGGAGTTGAGGGTTTACGGTTTAGGGCTTCGCGGTTTGCTAATGTTTGGACAGCCGTTGCTCATTTGATTGTCTAATATGATCATCACATGCTTGGACCCTTCTGGTGTGGCTTCAGGGTTTTTGGGCGATGCTTGGGCCTCGGGATATGCCCCTCCACGTTTATCTGTATGATGTGACGACCTCTTTGGGGCCCTGCAGATAGCCCGATATTATGCTATATCCGTGCTCTGGCAACCCAGCATCACGGGGACTCAGCTACTCCAGGGTGGTGCCTCTCAAGATTCCAGATTTCCGGGCTTGTCTCAAACCCTAGCCCTAAACTCTAAGCACTACCTAAACCCCCAAAGTAGGTAAGATAATGGCCCAAAACCTATACAGGGCTGCTATATTCTACACACTTCCGGGGTCCAGGTAAGCCCGAAGTGAGAGGCTTCTCTAGCTGTGGGCTTCCTATGATGGGCTTCTGGGCAAAGATGACGGCCGCTCGCTTCCTTTGCCAATCTCTGCCTCGCGACATGTAAGCTCGGCGCAGACCCAGACCCCAAGAATATCCAAAAAGGTAGATCCTCCGATTCAACTCGGGCCCCTACGCTATGCATGGCTTCTTGTGTTAGGAATTCGCTTTTTAGATCCTTAAAGGGGTCAGGGGAAGAGAATTGCCTTCGCCCGCAGGGTGAAGCACTCCATAGAATCCCCAAGGGTCCAGAGGACCCAATAATCAGGTATGTTGAGGGTTTACAGGGTTTAGGGTTCCAACAATGAAGTGTTTGGGTTTAAGATAGTCGTTTATGTAGGATCATATTTAGGCGAGTATATGAGTATTAGCTACTTGGACCCCTTGGGAATCTCGAGCTCCGACTGCGCCCGCTCATGGGGGTGTCAAGTCAAGCATACTGTGGCGCCGAACACGCGACAGTTCAACACAAGATGAGAAGTTGCTAGGGTTTTAGGAATTGGGTCTACTGATAGGGTTTAGGCAATGTCGCGACAATTTTTTGATGGAGGTAAGGGCTCGTCGAGGAAGCATGATGTATTTCTGGAGTCTCCTGTGTAGCAAAGGTGGCGATACGTGTGATTTTTCCAACGCTCTCCATGACCCCTCCCTCCGTTGTAGAATCCCCCATATGGCTTCGAAAGGCGGCGCGCCAGGCGGTTTCGCGAAATCGTGTTGCCGGCGACTGTGGCTGCGAGCTCTATGCAGGTAGGAGACTGAGTTTAAGGAGTTAAGGTTTAGGATTTAGGGTTCATTTCAAGAGCCATAAGAGTTAAACTTCCGCAGTTCAAGATAATGGGCCCAGGGCGCCGGAGAGTTCCTGCTGGGTTGCTTTTAAGTTCAGGTGTCAGGGCTCTTTACTTTGAGGGTCTTATCTAACGGCGTTCTTTTGGTACTGATTAAGGGAAAGTGGTGTTTTTGCCAGCAGCAGGAGTACATAGATGCAAGACAGGAACTGCAACCCTGTAATTAACCCGCTAGTGGGGCAAGTGTGCTTCTGGCTTCCTGTAACATTGTAGATAGGATAGAGTCCACCAACTTCTTCGTCATCCCAACAGTAAGGCTCCTTTTAGCCCAATGCCCTATCTAGCACGGTCTTTCGGCCCAAAGACTCCAGAAAATAACTCATGGAGCCTTGGGGTAAACCACAGAGCCTGAAGTCTAACTCGTAGGTAAGAGCTGGTCTCAAGGAGTTCCCAAAGCACCATCCCTGCACCTTACACTGTGAGGTACAAGACGCTGTAAGATACTGTACAATACTGCGAGATTCTCACGCATGCAAGAGTCAGTTTCGATGTTTAAAGGTACTCCAAGATGTCGAAGGCCCATGGGGTTGCGAGTGTGTGTAGGATTCGATTCCTCTCGAACAGCCGCGTTGCCACGGCTTGTGGTGAGGCCTCGGCAGTGGGCGATTTGCGGAGCGTCTCCATGCTCCTCTGATGTGAGCTTAGGGTGTTAGGTGGATTTTCGGCTTTCATAATGTTCTGCGTAGTGGAACTTGTGTTTCTTTGGGGATGTTTTGGTTTGGGGTTTGCAAGCTGTTCATAGCTTTTGATGCGACGTGGCCCCAGGCATGTGCTTTATGCTGGAAAGTAGCTATAGCTGTCGGTAGTTATGTAAGTGCGTCCGCATGTATGCATGGGTTCCGGTTTCCCATACTAACTTCTCTACGAAGACGTGGCATGCGCGGCAGCATGTTTGCATGTTTGGTGTTAGCATGAAAGTAGGCATGCACATGTGTTCTTTCCACCTGTAGGTCTTTCCGCGTGTTCGTTCATGAGCTCGCATGTGTGTGTGTGTGTATATGCATGCAGATGAGCATTTCCGTGTGTGCCCATGCATCTGCATGTAGAGTCGTCATCCAGCTGGGGACCACGATGATGATGATGATGATGGTATGACGGTGGTGGTGATGGTGGTGATGGTGATGATGCTTATGATGGCGTTACTTTGTTCGATGATGATTGTCTCCATGGTGACGATGATTATGATGATGCTAGGTCAGGAAGAAGATGATGAAAAAAGGCAATGACGTCGAACAGAGTATTGAATTGATATGCAGGCCTGCTAGGTCCGTACATCCTAGAACGGTTCTGTGCATGAGTAGCACCGAGAAGAGAGAGATGGCTAGCAGCAATATGAAGCACAGTGTTGACAATATTAGGCGAAGCAGGGAGTCCTTACGGCGACCACCCTTTGTTGATGAACACTCTTCAGCCATTGTAGTACTGGTGCAGTGCTGGATAAGCGCATAACACCAATATAGTTTCGGAGTACATCCTGAGACCGTATGCTGGCTCCGGTCTGAGGACCAGTGCGGACAGGGAGGTCGGATCTGGGATGCCGCTTGGCAGCGACAGATGGGCCACTTTTCCCTAAACCCGAAACCCCTAAACCCTGAACCCTAAACCCGAAACCCCTGAACCCTAAACCCTAAACCCGAAACCCCTAAACCCTGAACCCTAAACCACACCCTAAGATGGAGTGGTGGATGCCCAAGACGCCGAAACAGTGTAGCACCCAGTCGCCCGAGCATTTACGTTTCAAGATATCTAATCCCCAAATCAGAAGGACCCGTAGGGGGGTGGGGGGAGGGGGGAACGGGGCCTCAATACCTGCAATGAGGCCGATTTAAGGAATATCTAATCCCTACCCTGAGGCTCCAGAGTAGGTCCTTTTGGCGGCTCATGTTTAGAATCCCTAAAAGGTAATCCCAAAAAGGAGCTATTATGGGGCCTCTGAGTCTTTGCATATTTCAGCCGCACCAGGGACTGCACGCAATTTGGACGGTAAGCTGCCGGCGGGTTCGGGAGGGGCCCAGCCTGCAGATTCGCCCCGAATGGGAGTTTCCGAACCTGGGGGACCAAAGCACCCTATATAGTCTGGGCTTTGGAGTACCATACTTTAATACGTTTTTTCTTAAAGGAACCATTATGAAGTCAAAGTTTATACTTTTGCTCCTCGGTTACTTAAAAGCCCAGTTAGCAGGATCCTTACTATAAGGACCCCCCCAAAAGAAGACACCCCCAATTTTCGGAATTTCCCAAATGTCCTTGGTGGAAAGGGTTTGGGTGCAGCTTTCGGGTCCCAGGTAGACTGGGGTGGGGAAAGGGTGTGGACATGCTAATATAGGAGCCTCAATTAATCACCGATACTATTTGGGGGGTTCCTCAATATAAAGTTCAGTATAGTATAACAAACCCCCAAACCCTATTCTAACCTTTAAGGCCCCTGTGTTATATGGCTGTGGCAGGCGTTCAGTTCAACCCCTGTTGGCGTGCAGAACCTTTTTGCGAAGTAGGTGTGTAATATAGGGGCCGTAATAATTACCTATACTCAATTGGAGGGTTCCTTACAATATTTTTTATTGCCCCCAAAGCCCTATTCTATTTACCATAAGGTCCCTCCTTTAAGCCTTACACCACAACTCCTAGACCCTACGGCCCAGATCCCCTAAGACCAGAACAGACTGTAAGCCCGAACCCGAGCCAGGTGGCAGTTTCCGAACATAGAGGGCCCTAATGTTGGAAGTCTTTAGGAATATGGACCTAGGCCTTTTCGAGGGGGTTCTCGGGACCCTTAAGAGTCTTACTATAGGTCATATAGCAGGTATATAAGGATCCCCAGGTTAAGGGCCCATACAAGGGCCCATGGTTTCAACCGGAGAAAATAGTAGGAGCCTTATTATAAGGACCCCCATAGAAGGTACCCCTAATTTTCGGAAACTCTCAACCATAACCCCGTTATGGAAACCTTATAGTACCCTTATAGTAACCCTTTAAAGGAACCCTAAGGTACCCCTAATTTTCGGAAACTCTTATAAGTACCCCCAAACAAGGTACCCCCTAATTTTCGGGAACTCCTAGGTCGAGGACCTGACGAAGGTTTGCAGTCGCGGGACAGACCGGGGCTGCTCGTGACTGGTCCTAAAGTTCCCTGCTGTGAGCGTTGAGGAAGGTCGGGGTTTGGGGTAATGGTTTAGGGGTTTTGCGGTTTAGGGGTTGGGGTGTAGGGTTCAGAGTTGTTGCTTTAGTGTTTTAGGCTTGAAGTTGGGGATTGCAGAAAATGATTGTTGTACTTCAGATGAGGAGGATGGAGGTTGTAGCCGTAGCTGCTTCGGGCCTGCTTCACATCTCCGAACCACCACACACTGGGTTCTGGAGTACCATACTTGAACATGTTTTTGGGGACCTGCTCCTCACAGGAACCATTATGAAATACACATCAGAATCTATACTTTCTCCTGCCTGGTTACTGCAGAAATCACCCTGAACCCCAAAACCCTACCCTGGCCTTTCAGGGACCTTAATGTGGGGTCCTTAAAGGGTCTAGGGCCCTAGCTATAAGGTCCCTGGAAGCATAGCTATAGTCTCCAATGCAGCTCCTTTTTTGGGAAACCATAAGACTGGCTAACCAAAAAAAGAACTAGAATGGAGACTATAGGTAACCCTAAACCCTAAACCCTATAAGGTCCGTGGAAGCCCTAAACCCTAAACCCTAAGCTTCAAAGTCCGCAATGAGGTACTACTCATCGCATGTACTCGCTGGCGACGCCGACGCTTGGCGACTGCTTTCCTCCTGCAACCTGAGCCAAAAGCGGGAAATCCCTGTGGTGTAGGTAGGGTGTAGGGTATAATATGTAGGTTTTTAGGGGTTTAGGGGTTTAGTATTTAGGTTTTGAGGGTTTCGGGGTGTAGGGTTAAGGGTTTATAGGCTTTGGGATTTAGGAAATTATAAGGCGTATAGGGTCTATACTATTGTTTCGGGGCTGAGGACGGCAGGCATGAATTTCGGCTGCAGCTTCTTACGAAAAGTGCACTGGTTATTGACCTCGATGATGAAATTATCTCTACCGGATTTCGGCAAACCCCTAACCCCTAAACCCTCTAAGCCCTAAGCCCGCATCCCTAAACCCTCAACCCCTACAGTTTTGCTTAAACCCTCTAAGCCCTAAGCCCGAATCCCTAAATGCCCTAAGCCGGAGTTCAGGACATTGTCTTCTGCCCCCACAACTACATTCTGGATCCGGCCGTTTCGAAGTGCAGACTCTTGGGGCGTTGGGAGCGGAGTAGGAGTTCGGCTTTAGGGGTTTAGGGGTCTAGGGTTGCAGGTCTTGGGGTTGTAGAGTTTTGGGGTTTGGGGATTTCAGGTTGGGCTTAGGTTTTCGGGTTGAGGGTTTAGGGGTGAAGGTGAAGTACAGAGGCCTTATCACATAGAACAGGGTTGGTCGTACATCATAAACCCTTGTATGCCGGCCGTCTACAAGAGGCATTAGTCACAAGCATTCAAACTTCTATAGTGCAGGGCGGGCTATGAGTTTGCAGTTTAAGGCCCTGTGTATTTTTCGGGGCTTTGGCACTAAACCCTGCAACCCTAAACCCTAAACCCCCGAGCTTTGGGGCCCGGAAGATGTGTTATGCCGTGGAGGTCCTTCCTTACCTCCTCGCTGGACTTCTTTCCGATTTTGAAAGCCTCGAAATCTCTTTTAGGGGTTTAGGGTTTAGGGTATTTATGCTAAACAACCGACTAGATAAGGTCGATACTGCCTACACTGCCGTCTCCTGTTTTCTTTTGTTGGATAGAAGACGTCCAGGCCTTAGGCCGCGCCGTGCATCGGCAAAGGCCAGGTTCAGTGCAGGGTTTGCATATGATGCCTGCAGGGCATCAAGGCCTTAAACCCATCCTAAACCATGAACCCTCAACCTCAGTGCTGCTGAACCCATTGAGATAAGATCCAGGGTCGAGAGTTTGGAAGTCTATAGGGTACTGAGGCTCACTGTGGGGATTTAGGGTGTCGGGATCCTAATCTTGGGGTCCAGGGGCGCCTCACGCCTGTTGCAGGTCTGCCGGTTCCGGGGTCACGTAGGGGCGTATATCTAACTACCTATACTATTGAGGGGGTTCCTGAGTATAAGTACAGTATACTTACTTAGCCTATTGGAGAACTTTAAACTTTTTGGCTTTATATATTAGGTCTATCTTAGAAAGTTTATACTTTTTTGGGCCCGGTTGTTGAAGGAGAGAGTATAATAAACAACAAAACCCTATTCTAATTGTTATAGAGGCAGGGTTCAGGACAAAAAACCTTTGACCCTAAAGACGAGACGGTCGCATCGAGAAGTGTAGCAACTTCTACACACCTTAAGCCTTAACCTGCCATATATATATATATATATATGCAAAAGCATAACCTACCTGTCTGTAGGCTGTATAATTGTAAGCCCGAAAATGGAATTCATGTGAACTCTACCCGAAAAGGTAGGTTTTGGTAGGTTAAAAGCCCCGGACCCTAAACCCGAACACCCTGAACCCTAAGGTAAGCTTAAGCTGCTCCAGGATCGCATCATCGAGAGCGTTGGTCGCTGCAAGGCCGGATCATCGTCATCGACGACGCTTGGACATCTGGTGCAGGGGCCGGATGAATTAGCAGAGATGATGCCCCCTTCTGGAACATAAACATATACTATGATAGGCTTGAGGAGTGTGCAGAAAGGGTATTCCGCACCTTTTTGAAGACGGCTATACGGTAACACGCGTACCCTAGAGCCTGTTCCAATCATTCTACAATCTGCTAGGCCCTGAGTCACCCAAGGCCCGAGTTGCGGGAAAGGTCGCTCGCTGGCCCAAATCTAAAGTCACAGCTCCGATAATGCAAGAGGAGGGGTTCAATGCTACTTAGAGGATCATGGGACTTAGTAACTAGGGTTATAATTAGGGCAACTATATTTATAACCCCAATTAAGGTATTTATAACCTTACTTACTAAGTCCCATGATCCTCCAAGTAGAGTGTCGCTTGGTGGGTTATTGTGCTGTAATGAGACGCTGCAGGAACCCCAACGAGTACGAATTTGGTTTCTATTGCTCCCTAGATCAGGGTTTAGGCGTTTGGAGTTTAGGATTTTACTTTGTTGGACAAGTCCTCAGGGGGAATTCTTCCCAAAACGCCATACTGGGGATCGGAATCATCCCCAATAGCATTCTTTGGGGATGTCTTGACTTTGTTTCAACCACTACATTCCCAAACACCCTAATCTAGTTGTTTATCAAGGTCCCTCTGCTAATAGCCCTACAAACCCTAGAAGCCTAAACGCCCTAAACCTTAAAAGCCCTGAACCCTAAACTCTAAACATTAAAAGCCCGAAACCTAGACCCTAAACCTTGAAAGCCCTGAACCCTAAACCCTAAACCCTAATCGCCCTAAACCTTAAAAACCCTGAACCTGCTTCTATTGCACCCCCGAGGAAGCGCACAACCTTGAGCAGGCATGCCGGGAGGCCTGGCATTGAGAAACTGCAGCGATCAGGGGTTTTGGGTTTAGAGTTTATAGGGGTTTAGGGTTTTGGGTGTATTAGGGTTTAGGGTTTGAAAAATTGGGGTACCTTGTTTTGGGGGTCCTTATTATAAGGACCCTACTATTTAGGGTATTATGCTAATGAGGGTCCCCGATACCCTTGTGAGGCAGGCAGTCTTCAAATCTCATTGCCAGAGCTTCGACAAATCTGCCGTGCTCTCAGACAGATGCCGCTGAGGTGGGCTTTGGGCTGGGGGTTTGGGAGTTTAGGGTTCGAGTGCCGGAGAACATCATTTGGCCAATTTGTTGACGTCTATGCCTCAAGATTTACGGTATACAGTTTAAGATGAGGGCTTGGGGTGTAAATGGTATTTCGGGGCTTGATTGGTGGTTATGTGGTGAATGCCGCTAACTCGCTGGCCTGTCAGCTAGAGTATCATTCCAACTACATTACCATGCAGGCGCAAAAAAAAGTATATATACAGAATAAACTAAACCACTAAATCCTTCAGCCCCAACCCCTGAACCCAAACCCTGACACTGTCGGGGTTAGGGCTTCACAACCTCAAACATCATTAAATCCTGAAGACATGCCCCGAAGCACCAACATCGGGCCGACACCAGAGGCTACTATAGTGGCCCAAATAATTACCAGTACTATTTTGGTGGTTCCTTGTTCGAGAAATAGTATAATGGGCCCCACCCTATTCTAATTCTTATAAGGCCCCTTTATTACCTTGCATTGTACGCCGGAAACCCACTGTGGAGGGCCTCCAGAGCTCTAGGGCTCTTGTTTGATTGTGAGAGGAAGTAGAACCCACCGGCAGGATGTCGTGTGGAAGGTGATTGTAACTAAACCAAACCCGGCCCTTGGGGCTATTTAAAAATTATAATGGGGCTTTAACGTTGAGGCCATTTCTAAACTAAAAAGGGTCTACAGTGTTTGTTGTCTGGTGTCATTCTGGTCTCGAGTGCTTGCTTTGGGGTTTGAGCAGATGTCTTCAGCAAAGAGGCTTCGGGGTTGGGTGGGTTCAGGATATGGGCTTTCGATTCTAGGGTTTAAGCCGTTGAAAGCCCTATGAATGTAATTGAGCCCCATAGAATCCACAGGGTCTTGACATTCACCTACCTCCAGCAACTACTGTATACCTTGAGAGGCACGGCGACATGCGCTTTGGCAGTGATGGGAAGAACTTTACGTGTGCACAGGCCAGCTGCTGCAAGTGACAGTTTGGCGGCTGTTTTGGTTTAGAAAGTGAGCCGAGTCTGCCAAACCGTTGTCTGCCACCCGAAACGCACATAAGCATAAGCATTTTATGGGGATATCCCTATCCTAGTTTTTGCTTATGTGCCTTTTTGGGGCCCTATCAACCCTACATGGTGAACCCTGAACCGTTTAGGTTGCAGGGCGAAGCCCTAGCAGTCAATCCCGTGCCGAACATTTCTCATGTCTTCATCGCGCGTTTGATGGAGGCTGCTATTGAGCTGGAGCGCTTGCCAGAGCAAATTGCCAGCTTTCTGGAGGCGAGGACAACATGTCAAAACAAAACAGGCTTCCAGATTCTGGGCATATCGATGTTTATCGGCTCAGTGTTCTGTGCGCAGGTCGTAGTAGACTCAAGACGTTTTGGGTGGGGTATGTGGGGTTGGGCCGCGAGGAGCCTGGCTGTTGCATGAGCTTCGCGAATACGGTGCAACTGTGTATCTAGAGTCAACTATAGTCTAGGCAAGTTAAGGTCCCCACATTCCGGACGTGTCGCTGCAACACATTGCTCGGCCAAGTGGAATTCTTGGCTTCAGGGTTTGGGGTCGTTGCTTTTGATGTCCCCTCTTTGTTCAGAGCAAGGTTGGCACGAATACAAACCAGGCGCTGTCACCGCGGTCTTCGGATAGCTTTCCAAGTTGACGTCATGTGAACGAGCCGCTTCTGTCTACTGTACCTATCTATCTTTCTTTCCATCTATATGTAAGTAGGTTTAGATCTGCTTGTTTGTTTATGTATATGCGCGTATATATAGTTTCATATACATGCGTGCATGCATACGTACATACATACAGTACATACGTGTGTACATACATACATACATAAATCCATGCATATGTCTATAGTGCAAAATAAAGCATATGTATATGTGTATGTACATACTAAATAAACATGCATATATGAGTGGCCTGGCATGGGGAACCTGTCCACGGGACGGCTCTGCGACCTCCAAACAGCAAGCCTTGAAGAAGTAGGCTCTGGGCTGCATGATAAATATACATACAGTTCCGAAGCATTAAACAAGGGGTTCTGCAGGATTCGTGGTGAGGCTTCAGGCTTAAGGGTTGAGAGGCTTCAACGGTAAAACTTACAAACCCTTGCGTTGCCTGCAGCTTTACACTGCCAGAGAGTCCTCTTCTCCAGTGCGGTGCCAGGGACATCAGGCCACCAAAGCGGCGGGACCGCTGCTTGGTCGGAAAGTTGATAGATGCTAAGCCCAAAGCCGAAACCATCCGAAACCCGAAACCCAAACTGGCTCCCACCTGGAAGGGTTCCGACATGACAAGAGCTCGAATTCCAGAGCTGCGGTATACTTACGAGGAGACGGTTCGGAGTCATGATGCATGTGTAGCTGGTGGGGACTGGGAACTGGGGCTTCCTCTGGCGAGTGGCGTCTGCAAGCCTAGTATATTCAGATTTCAGATGAAGGTTTGGTGGAGAGCTCAAGGGCGTTCAGGGGCCCAACGTGGCAGACATCACATTACGATGGCCATTTTAAGACCCTTGCTGCTACGACAAGGAGAAGGATAGGTTTGTGTTTCCACCGTCTGCTCGGTATACTCTAAAAGAGGAACACAAACATCCGTAGGTTTGGTTTGAACAACAGCCCTGAGCGCGAAACGGCTTTATCACGGTTTAGGGCTTGCGGTGTTGGGTTTGGCAGTATAATATAGGGGCTTCAATAATGACCAATACTACTTTGGGGCGTTCCTTAGTTAATGGGCCCCAAAACCCTGTTCTAATGATTAAGGCCCCTATACTAGCCCGGCTCAACGTTCAACCCTGAAGTTCTGAGCCGTGCTCCAGATCCGTGCCCAAAGAACCCGCATTCCTAAACCCGTGGTTTCTGAAATCCAGCTGCCCTAAAGCCAACTAGGCCAACAAAAAACAGATCACCACAATTGAAAATGCCCCAAACCCCTCGTAAGCACTTGTGGGAGTTCCCGAAAATTGGGGGTTACCTTATTTTGTGGGCCTTATCTAATAGAAATCCTACTATTCAACGTACCCTATCAGGATCCACTATTTTTAGAAAGCCCCTTGTACGCCCTGAACCCTAAACCCTTAAAACCTAAACCCCTATACCCCCAAACCCATCAACCCTAAACCCCTAATCCCCAAATCCTAAGCCCCGAAGTCCTAAACCCCTAAACCCTAAACCCTTAAACCTCAAACCCCTAATCCCTAAATCCTAAACCCCTAAACCCTTAAGCCTTAAACCCCTAAACCCCTAAACCCTTAACCCCTAAATCCCTAAGCCCCGAAACCCCTAGACCTTAAACCCCTAACCCTAAACCCCTAAACCCCGAAACCTTAACCCCTAAACCCGGAAAACCCCGAAACCCCTAGACGTTAAACCCTAAACCCCTAAACCCCGACACCCCTGAACCTTAAACCCCTAAACCCCTAAACCCCGAAACCTTAACCCCTAAACCCCGAAACCCCGAAACCCCTAGACCTTAAACCCCTAACCCTAAACCCCTAAACCCCGAAACCTTAACCCCTAAACCCGGAAACCCCCGAAACCCCTCGACGTTAAACCCTAAACCCCTAAACCCCGAAACCCCTAAACCTTAAACCCTAAACCCCTAAACCCCTAAACCCTAAACCCTGAACCCCTAAACCCCGAAACCCCTAGACCTTACTTAAACCCCTAACCCTAAACCCCTAAACCCCGAAACCTTAACCCCTAAACCCGGAAACCCCGAAACCCCTAGACGTTAAACCCTAAACCCCTAAACCCCGAAACCCCTAAACCTTAAACCCCTAAACCCCTAAACCCCGAAACCTTAACCCCTAAACCCCGAAACCCCGAAACCCCTAGACCTTAAACCCCTAACCCTAAACCCCTAAACCCCGAAACCTTAACCCCTAAACCCGGAAAACCCCGAAACCCCTCGACGTTAAACCCTAAACCCCTAAACCCCGAAACCCCTAAACCTTAAACCCTAAACCCCTAAACCCCTAAACCCTAAACCCTGAACCCCTAAACCCCTAAATCCCTAAAGCCCGAAAGACCTGAGGCTCTGCGGCGCCCTGCAGCGCCTTTGGGGCTTAGAGGCTTCGGCCAAGCCCGGCGAGGCGGCTCTGGGTTCGATGCTTTTCTTGTTTAGGGCTTAGGGTTTAGGGTTTAGGGTTTAGGGTTTAGTAGAGTTTAGGGTTTAGGGTTTAGGGGTTTAGGGTTTAGGGTTTAGGGTTTAGGGGTTTAGGGTTTAGGGTTTAGGGTTTAGGGTTTAGGGTTTAGGGGTTTAGGGGTTTAGGGTTTAGGGGTTTAGGGTTTAGGGGTTTAGGGTTTAGGGTTTAGGGTGAGCCCTTATGGTCCTTAATGGTGGGTAGTTGGGGTATAATAGAGGGTAGTCGGGGGCTGCTGGAGGGGATAATTTCTAGGTGGGTCTTTACGGTTTAGGGTTTAGGGATTAGGGTTTGGGGTGTGGTTTAGGGTTCAGGGTTTAGGGTTTAGGGACATTTTAAAGCACCTCCTAGTGTTGGTATCTTGGCTGTGGGTGGATTTTGGGTGTTAGGGCTTTAGGGTTTTAGGGTGTAGGGTTTAGGGTTTCTGGCGTGCTTCTGTTTGGCTCTTAGGACTGTATTTTTTGGGTTTCTATATGTAAGTAGGCTAAACGGATAGCATTTTTTCGGTATCTTGGCTGTGGGGGTTTTGGGTTTAGGGGTTTAGGGTTTAAGGTTGGGGCTTTGGGACAGTTTATGTTTGCTCTTATTGGGCTGAAAAGAGGATCTTACCTACGAGCATTGTTCAAAGGCTGTAAAAGCACCTCCTAGCTTTGGTTTCTTGGCTGTGGGGGTTTTGGGGTTTAGGATGGTTTTAAGGGCTGTTGGGGTTTATTAGGGTTTTGGTTTAGGGCTTTAGGGTTTTAGGGTTTCTGGCGTTCTTGTGGTTGGCTCTTACGACTTCAACCTCTTGGGTTTCTATATGAACTATAGTAAGTAGGCTAAAATGAACTTCTCGGAGGGGTTCAGAAGTCGCCCAAGAATTTTAGTTTGTTGGTTTGTTGGTTTTGGGTTTAGGGTTTTAGGGTGTTCGGGCTTTAGGGTTAATTTAGGGTGTTACATACGATTTTGGGGCTTTAAGGGTTTAGGGTTTTAGGGCGTTAGGGTTCTAGGGTTCATAGAGCTTAGGGTTTGGGGTTTCGTGGTCCTTAAGCTTACACCCGGTTCTACACCCTAAACCCGGGCGAAAGCGGTTTTAAGGGATTTAGAGTGTAGGGCTTCGGGACTGCTGACGGCTTTTGTGAGTCTTTCTGGAGTTGGACCGCGGAATCCTTAAACCCTCAGTTTAGAGTTTAGGGTTTAGAGTTTAGAGTTTAGGGTTTAGAGTTTAGAGTTTAGGGTTTAGGGTTCATCCTGAAGGATACAGGGTTTTGCGGGTTTTTGAGTGTTGGATCCTACGATTTTTAGGGTTTGGGGGGGTGCGTTTCTTGGGGACTTGTCTCCGAGGCTGAGGGCTCAGGGGTTTCGAGTTTGATTTAGAATGCCCTTTAAACAGACCTTAAGGGTCCTAGGTACTGTTATGGGGAGTACTTTCCCAAATCATAATAGTAATTACTAATATAGAAACCCTACATTCTACCATATTGGTACTTTGGACCCTTCGGGAGAAGCTGTGCGACGTCGGCAGCGTGGCTTTAGCTGTGTCGGTTTCAACCTGGGTTTCAGGACTTTGGGGTTGCGTGTTTAGATGTTACTTCAGGGTTTGACATACATAAGGGTTTGGGGCTTCGGGTCCCGGGAATCTGACGTTTGGGTCGGAGCGACAAGGTTGTTGGCTTGGGGTGCTAAGGAGATCATGAAGCTGAAGATGATGAGAGAGCGGTTTCCCGAAGGGTAGTGTGCATAGAGCAGCCCGGGTAGTATGAAATTCCAGCCCCCATGGTTGAGGATTTGATCTGTGTCCTTCGACACGTCACTTCGTTGGGATCTTCTCGCATGCCGGACATCAGCAGAAACAGCAGCCACAAGTGCAACAGCATGCACAGCGCGAAAGGGGAGTTTTCGAAATTAGGGTTACCTTAATTTGGGGTCCTTTTTGCAAGGATCCTACTATTTAAGGTATTATACTTGGGTCCCCCATTTTCCGAAAAGCCCAAATACTCTAGCAAGGGCCCCGGTTGCAGCAGGGAAGCGGCCCTTGAGGAGCACTCCTTCAGGAGCAACTGGTGAACCCAAAGACACTGAGAACTCTTTGGGGCCGGTTTTGGGTTTTTGGGGTTTGGGGCTATTGACCTTTGATCCTCAAACCCCCGAGTGCAAGCTTTTTTCCCGGCAGGCGACTGAGCTCAGTCTTGTTGTAGGCCTTTTTGTGGTCTGTTGTCGGTTTTCTGGGTGTCCCCTTAGGAAAGTACACATCTGTTGTCATCTAAGTTCACAGGGATTGAAAGACATTTTTAGTGTGGGTTTTATGCCAGGAAATGATGAAAGATGGCCCCTCCTTCCCCACAGCTGAGCGCAGACCCAGAAGCTTGAGCAAGGAGTAGCAGCAGGAGGGGGACCAGGAGGAGAAGGAGGAGCAGCAGTAGTAGCAGTGTAGTTGTTGTTGTTGTTGTCGTAGTGGCCGTACTCCGGGTCGTTTCCGTCTTTTCGGCATATCTGACTTCCACTACTCGCACAACCTGTTGGTACACTTGCCTGCTGAAAGGTTACCGCTTCGCACGCGAGGAGGGCGCATATGGCCACTCTTGCTTTGCTCGGTTGGTTCAACCTGATAGATGAGCTGACGTCCCAGTGAGTGGATGATGTTCCTGTATGTGCGAATTTTTCGCCTAAAGCGATCAGAGCCATCCTCTCGGGTGGCCCAAGCATACCGCTTGACCATGGCCAGCGATGTTTTCTGTTTTGAAGGAAGACACAGCCGCAAATGCAGGAGCCAATACGACTACTAGGGTTGTCCCAATGTTCTGGGCTCGGCATGTGAATCTCCGAGGACAGCTTTGCTAACATACGAGGTAATGCGGGAGGGAAATAAATAGACGATCCGTGGGAGCTTGATATGGCCACGATCAGTTCATCACGTCATGCGTGTTTAGTATCAGGAGGTTTCCGAAGCAATTCTTGAGACTCGCCCTAAACCCCAACACCCTCATGCCCTAAACAACACCCACAAACTATCAAAATTTCGTTTTGTAGGTTTGACACGGAGCTTACACAAAAAGTAGCTCGCGGTAGTTCAAGCTGAACCTAACTCGTATAGCAGGAGGAAGTATACGGTAAACCTTACAAGCAAACCAGACCGTATCCCCAAACACTGAGCCCGAAGCCTTCAGCTTCAGACGGAAAAAGGCGATCCGCAAAACCCTTGGGCTAATGCTCAAAGGCCCTGAGACCCCAAATACCTCAAGAACCCTCAGTCGGAGGCAATATCCCCAACACGCGATTTCTTTCAGTACGCCGGGCTCACGAGTCGGAAGCATCTCGAACTAGTGAGGGGGCTTGGGTTTCAGGATTTAGTGCGGTAGGGTGTAAAGAATTGCTAGTTTTGATGTGCTTCTAGGGTTCTTATGCTTGGGCTCGTGTTTTGAGGATGTGGGGCTTCGGACAACGGGGATCAGTTTTGCAGAGTTTAGGGTGTGGGGTGCATACGCAAGGGTGCCGGCAGGAGCCTAAGCTGCTTTCTGTCTATCAAAGCTTTAGAAACGGCCGCTTGCAAGTCCATGATGTCGGGGCTAGGGTTCAACGGTGGAGGGTTTTGAGCCGAAGCCATTCGCCAAGGCTCCTGGGAAAGGGCATGGAGGACTGATTTGCACCAACCAAAACAAAAGACCAAACAAAACACAAGCATTTCATGAGTGTCTTTTTTCAATTTTCCGAGTGTTCAGGCCATTACATCACAAAAGTGTGTTTACAATCAGGGCTTACTACATCCCCACTGCCTCAACCTCGAAGGGCCGTGAAAACTCGAAGCCCTTGTTTCCTCGACCCTAGACTTCTCTGCTCGGAATAATTGCAGACAGTACACGCTCGTAGTCCCTGTACTAGCATACCATAAATATAACGGTCCTTCAAAGCCCCGGCTCAAATTGTTAAGGCCGTAGATTACTTTACACTTACAGCCGCGAAGCCCAAACGAAGCTCCACCCCAGAGCTCTAAATCCAAAACGCAAAGCCATAAGGGTTTTGGGTTTTGCGGCTAAACTCGAAGCCCTAAACCCGAAAGTTTAAACCCCTAAACCCCTGCCTGGGCCCTCTAAACCCACCTTTGTAGGGCCCCTTATGTCGGTTTCCTTCTGTATGTTCAAACCCCTACACCCCTGACCCGCAAAAAGCCCTCAACCCTAAGCCTGAAACCCTAAACCTCTAAAACTCTTGAACCCACGAAAGAACCCCAAAGCCGCACAAGAGCCAAGAGGACTTGGTCTTGGAGGCCGTCGATCGCCTGCTGCAGGACGCAAGGGTTCGGGCTTTACGGCTTAGTCTTTAGGGGTTTGGGGGTTTTGGGTTTGGAGCTTAGGGCTTGGGGTTGAAGGTTTCGAGCCTCAGGCGTCATGGTTTCGGGCTTTGGGGTTTAAGCTTTCGGATTTCGGTCTTGAGGTTTAGGCTTCATCTGAACACCAGGGAGCTTACTTCCAGCAAGTAAGGAGGGTCCCTTGTCAAGAAGTCCTGGAAGGCACGCCCGGTAATTTACACCGCCCCTCCAACTCACTCTAGTTCTAGTCAAAGTTCTACTAACTACGAAAAATACCACTACCAATAATAATAACCAAGGATAGTATTATCAACAACAATAAGAGTTGACTCCTATACCTCAGAGCCTGGCACCCATGAGCCTGAAACCCCTAAGTGCCAAGACTCTACACCTGCATGACGTTAGTATACAATCGAAATTAAATTATAGACGGTAATATACTAGATAACTTAATCTAACATACTAAAATTAATGCCTGAACGGTTATGGTAAAAAAGAGTACCCCACGGCTCGAATCTCGCAAACACAGCCTCGAAGAGGAGCAGTCCACCAGTGAGACAGACAGCACACCGTCACCGGTGCTTTGGTATGCAGAGCATCACCAAGAAGAGCGTAGGTTTCCGGCGTTTAGCGTGTTTCGTGTTTGGGTTCAGGATTTAAGGTTGGGGTCTCGGCTTAGGTTGGGAAGTTTTCGGGTTTAGAGCCATGACTTCCTAATAAGTGTTGTGCAGAGAAGTCTACACTTACCCCGAATCTTGAGAGTGCAAAAACCGAGAGTTGAGCCATATGCCTTACGCAGGACTTTGTATAACCTACAACTTGTAGGTTCTTATGACGGACCCTAATGCATAGTTATCCTACAGAAACGTCGGTCGTGGTAGTTAAGGCAAGTTGTAGCAGGAGTCCCAATGTGCATTGAGGTCACTGTCTGAAAAACAAGTACTGGTTTTCGGAGTCTTTGTCAAGGTAAAACCAACACCCGAACTCTCACTCAACGGGAGTGATCAACCCCCCCCCCCCCCCAGGCAATTTAGGGCTTCCTGTTCAGGGTTCAGGGACAGAAACTGCTAGAGACTTGGCCCAGGACATCGAGGAAAGCGCTGGCAGTCACAACAGACTAACCCTAAGGCTGAAAATAGCCCAAAAGCCTTATAGAGTATGGTCTTTGGGTCCAAAAGCCTTAAAATGTGAGTCCTTAGAGCCTGAGGGTAACAGCACAGTACCCTTGCGCAAACTGAAAACCAAAGAATCGTAATCCTTCAGCCCAAGACCTAGACTTCCACACACCCTACTTGGAGGATCATGGGGCTTAGTAAGTAAGGTTATAAGTACCTTAATTGGGGTTATAAGTTATAAGTATAGTTACCCTAGTTTTAGCCCTAGTTACTAAGTCCCATGATCCTTTAAGTACCTTATGTTACCATGACCGACTACTGCGTAGGCTCTTATCATAAGCCTGGTGTGGAAGTTACAGGGATCCGAAGCCCAGCATGACCCGAGGCGGATGGAGCCAGTGAAGATGCAGAGCTTTTTGCTGCGCTGGACCGTCATCGGGATAGGGCTTGCTCGGGGCTGTAGCGTTTAGGGGTCAGGCTTGAGGCAACGAGATCATGGACCTGGTCCAAAAAAATTCAGAAGGGACTGTCAGTTGTGGTGTCGACAAAGTCTGCGGATGAAGGTTTTGATGGATGCTAGTTGTAAGTTTGGTTTAAGAGTCCATTTATTCAGTATTATAGGACTTCTGTGGCTTTTTCGGTACCTAAAGCCATAAATACGGACTACTTGGACCCTTAGGGTTAAGCCTTGGCGATTATCGCAACGCATAACGGCCGGAATGCTGGCCAGCACAATATCTCGCCTGACACCCGAAACCTGGAACCCCCCAAATGCGTCACTTCAGTTACCAAACTCCTTCCACGAGCTGCCATACAATTCCAGGCCATAGCTACCCCCAAAACTCAGAAACGTAAAGCCCCCACCACAAGCCCCATAACTTCGACAGACCATCAGCCACTGGCGAGAGGATAAGCTGAAGGGGCTGATCTTCAAGCTACGCCTGGCCTCGCAGTACCCGGAACCCCGGCAGCACATGCAGTACTCGAATGTTTATACTGCCAAGATCGAATACGTCGGCGTGTCTGCTAAACCACACTTGAACGTGTAGGATCCATGCAGTTGATTGTTTATTTATATAGCGTGAACATGGACTTATCGTCGCCTTGTCTGCTAAACCACACGTGAACGTGTAGTATGCATGCAATTGATTGTTTATGTGCATAACGTGAACATGAGCTTGTTGTCTACTTGTCCGATGGCCGAGAGTCCTAGCATGTCCTAGCTTGCTAGTATTTCTAGGCGTATTGCTGTCAGGGTCCATGCATCTTTTCGCAACCACGGTGCAGCACGCCATAATCCGCAAGCTGCCAACAGTCTGCAGTGCTAGCTTTCTCACAGACAGAATGAATCATAAAGCAAGACTGCATCGTCGCAGTGTACTTCCGGAGGCACTTGGAGAAAGAACAGCACAAGCATTCCGGAATGCCGGCTGATCTAGAAAGCAGATCCCCTAATTTGGGGCCTATACTACAAAGGGTACTTTATAGGAACCCCCCATTAAGGGATCTACTTTTGGATCCTCCCGGTTGTAGAACCCCCAGAGTGACACGTACCGACTGCGAGACCCAACCCCCTAAACCCGCAACGGAGCTCTAGACCTCTAAATATGGGAGTTTCCGAAAATTAGGGGTACCTTATTTGGGGGTCCCTATAATAAGGATCCTACTACTTAGGGTACTATATTAGGGGCTCCAGATACCTGGGTGGTTGTCAATGTGAGGGTCTCTTTTTGGAACATTATTATAATACGGCACCCATTAGTTAGGGTACCCCACAAGGGACTATGATTTTGACAACCGCCCACCTAAATATTGGGTTAGTTGGGTACAGAATCTATGGTTAGTACCCTACTTTCAGGTAACTTGAGTACAGAATGTATGCTCAGTAGCCTACTATCAGGAAACTTGGGTACAGAATGTATGGCTAGTAACCTACTATTCAGGTGACTTGGGTACAGAATGTATGTGGTTAGTAACCTACTATTCAGGTAACTTGGGTACAGAAAGTATGGTCAGTAACCTAGTATTCAGGTAACTTGGGTACGGAATATATGGTTGGTAACCTACTTTCAGGTAACTTGGGTACAGAATATAGTACCCTATACTATTCAGGTAACTGGAGGTCCAGGGGAAGCCAAAACTTGAAACTTCCTTGCCAAGTCTTGTCAATGCATCTGTGAATCCTTTTTCGTCTGGACACCCCGACATTCAATAGCCAAGAGCAGCAGTAACCCGTCTATGCTGAACCCGAAGATCTAAGTTCGTTTTACCGGTTTTTAAGTTCTTATCCATTGCCCTTCAGCCAGAAACCGTAGCCTACGCCTATAGCTGTTTACGTAATTTAGGGCTGAGGTTTAAACCCAATAACCTCCAGCCCTCGCCGCGACAGGAATGCTACGTCGTTGGCATCTCACCTGCAGAGGGCCCGGCTCAGTCGCTGAGTGCATGGCTGATGACGCCCGGATCCTCGACCCCTTGATGTCGGATCATTATAGTGTCACAACATCATAGTCCATAGTATAAGAGCTCTAGTATTATAGCATCGTATTATAGTGCTATCGTATTGCCGTATCATCATGGTATTATGATAGGGCTGTTGTATTGTTACAGCTTTCTCATGTGAAATCCGAACGAAGGGGTAGTCTAGGACTGTGTTGTTTTCGGTATTCAGGGGTCCGGGGTCTCGGGGGGGGGCTCTAAGGCTTCTTGCATGAGGGAAGCTTCTGAGGTCGTTGATGAGAGCAGGTCAGGTGGGTGGTCGGGCTTAGGGTTTTAACGTCGGGGCAGGAGGGCTGAAGTTTGAGGGTTTAAAAGTTTAGGGTTTAACGGTTTAGCGGTTTAGGGTTTAGGAGTTTAGGGTTTCGGGGGGGCGGGGGGTAAGCTTGCCTTAAGTGTTGCAGGTGTCGTGTTTCCATGTTGTCTTGTTGCTTGTTGCATCACAGGCTATATGGTAGTATAGTTTAGGGCCCTGAAATGCTAGATAGTTTGAGCAGGGTTTTGGTGTATGAGAGTTTTCTTTAAGCATAATGGAAGCTCTAGGGACTAGTACTATTCAGGCATGCGACGAGTTTTGGGGGCTCAGGCTTCAGTGTTTCGGGTTAAGGGCTCAGGGTTTGGGGTCTACGCAGCAAGCCTCACGGTGAGGGTTCAAGATTTACGGCTTCGGGCCTGGGGTATCTCACGGTCTAGGATTCCAGGGCCGCCGGATTTCGGGCTCAACGAGAAGGTTGCGAGTGGGAGATGGCAGCAACGAGGCATCTAGTCTATAGTAACCATAGTCACGACAGGAGTACTGACAAACCACCAACACAATCATACTTGCTCTTGCGCTTATTATGACGGTAACACCTTTAAAATAACAACCTAGCCCTTGACCCCAGCCCCTGAAGTATACACCCTAGGCCGTAAATCTGTCGGGCTCACCCCTAAACCCTCAAACCGCAACCTTAAGCCCACTGACCCAGGAGTCCTTTTCGAGATCTTTGCTGGCTCTGCTCACGCAGCTCCTCGGCGAATTTGCCCGAGGGCTCCAGTTATTGAAACAATCCGTTACTTTGTTACAACATGTATGGTCAGACAACTACTATTTAGGTACCTGCAGCCCTAGGGTAAGCTGGACGAACGAATGATCAGGTCTTATGTTTCAAACTAGCTTAAGGGTCCGAAATTCCTTCAAACAGTCATCAACCCCCTTGCCTCATTTCTGCTTTTGGCGATGGGTAGCGGAGCAGCGCTTACAGTCCTTGTTAGCCCCAAGCAAATTTTTGACCTTCGGCCAGTTAGTCTTCAGGTGGGTTGGGTGGGCAGTTCCGCTTACGAACCTGAAGCCAAGAGACTAAGTCCGCTTGAGTGTGTGCTCAAAGTCCTAAGCTCCTACACTTGAAGAGCTTTCCTTTCAGACATCAGCTAAGCCATCCTGGTCCCATGTTGAATTCAACTTGTTCCCCAGTGCCCGAGCTCTCACCAGATGGTGGTGCAAGAACTTCAACTTGAAATCGGAACATCCCATCATCCGATCTGGGTCTGCAGGTGCTGTTGGCATCGGGGACGCTGACGCCTCTATCCTCATTGCAGGCTACTATAGCTTACCCCAGCTCCCCGACCCACGCAGGAATAAATTCTTTAAGCTGACACCTGACCGCATCGTCTGCACACCCGAAGATCAGAGCCGTGCTGGCCATTCAGCGCCCTTAGAAGCCCCGTTCGTCCCCTTCACACTCTACATCCCGACACCCTCGAACCATCAACTTCTTACTATACTTTGTCTTTTTGAAGCACATTCCCCGAATTCAGGGGTACTGGGCTCCCTGGCTAAACCTTAGCCTTAGTCCCTACAAAGACTGTGGGTAAACCTTCGAAGCCTTGCAAAACCTCCGCAGAACCCACAGAGCCACCAATGAAGCCCTGTGAGAGTAAACCCCAAACGCTAAACCCTGGAATCTTAGAGCCCTAGAACCCCAAACCCCCAAGAGCCCCAGAACCCTAGAGCCCTAAGCAATGGAGCCCTGGAGCCCAGACCTTAAACCCTAAAAAGATGTTTAAAAAAAAGAAACCTTAAACCCTAAACCCCCAGGGGAGCCCAACCCTAAACCCCTAAACCCTAAACCTTAAGCCTTAAACCCTAAACCTTCAGGGGAGCCCTAAACTCACTGGGAGGCTGAGCTCGCAGACTCTCCGACCCTTTCCTCGCGAGCGCTGCCCGAGGGTCCCCTGGAAGCCTTGCACCCTGGGCTGCCTCGGTTTAGCGTCTGGGTCGACCTTTGAGGTTGGGGTTGAGGGTTTAATTAGGGTTTAAGATCTAGAGGTTGAGGGTCTAAGTTTTAAGGTTTACGGTTTGGTGTGGTTTACGGTTGATCGTCACCTTGAAAGAAGCATTCTTGCCGCAGGGTAGTATTAAGCAAAGGTGTTGTAAGGGGCTTCTACCAATTGTTTTAGGGGAGTTATGGGTGGTTTTGGGTTCAAGCAGGAGCTGAGGTATGAAAGGCTTATGTAACCAGTTGGGCAGCAAAAATGGGTGCTCCTGCAATAATATAGGGACTGACTGGTAATATTAGTCTTTAGGGTTCCTGATTAGAGTATAAATGTGTCCTGAAAACCGCGTTCTACTTCTTACCTAAACCCCCAAAGGGTAGGTAAAATAGTGGCCCAAAACCTATCAAAGGCCATTATTCTACATACTTTTGGGGTCCAGGTAATGACCCTATTGTAAACCTTGGGTGGTAGGTGCTCTTGCCTTGGTTGGGGGTCTACGCTGTCATCGTCAGGGTTGGGTGCTAGGGGCTGAACTGGGAGTTTCCGAAAAGTAGGGGTACCTTATTCTGGGGTCCTTAGAATAAGGTTCCTACTGTTTAGGGTACCATATTAGGGTCCCTTATTTTGGGAAACTCCGAAGTTGACAGGGTTGTGACAGGCTTTTCCAGGCTGGTGGCTTTATGGCTTACTGTTTCGTAAGTGCGACGACGAAAGAAGTGCGTTCGAAAGGGGCGCTCTGGGCCTTCAGAGGGTTTTCGAAAGGTTCTTATAAGGGGATCTCATCCCCCAATCTGGAAAAGCTGACCCTAAAATCCCCTACGAAAAGCTGACCCTAAAATCCCCTACACCCGCAACCACAGTTTCTGAAGGCTCTGAAACCCCCACTTCGAGGGTTGGGGGACTTAGTAACTGGTTATTCTAGGGACTTATAAGTACCATAACCCCAATTAGGGTCCCTCTTAGGGTACTTATAAGTCTACTTACTACCTACTTACCCGACCCTCCAAGCAGACCGTCTTTCTGTCTCTGAGGCACGTGGTGAGCTCCAAACAAATGCTGGCTGCTGTGCTGCCCTGCTCCGGCAACCTACGCCTAGCCCCATGACATCGAAGAGATGGTTTTGGGGTCATATAGGGGCCTACAGAATTACCACCCTATTTTGGGGATTCCTTGTTATATTTAATTACAGTATAATACACCGCAAAACACTATTCTAACTAGTATTGCCCCTGTAGTATAAGCATGAAGAAGCTCATCCTAGAGGTCCAGGTGCATCCAAGTGCCACAGCAGTGCGGCTCTAGGTGCCAACACAACATCCAGTGCAATGATAATCTGGGTTGTCCTTCGGGAGCTTTTTGATTTCACCTACTATTTTGTAGAGAGCCGTAATAGTAAATACTTTTCAAAGGGCTTAAGGACAACTCAGTAACAGAACAGCGGGGAGAACACCACTGTTTGAGCACTCCACTCTGCTCAGCAGGAAGATACTCGCAATTTTCGTGTGTAAAGCCGGACACTTGCCATTTTCCGAAGCCCTCAAAATGTCTGCGCCGAGACTGCAACGTTGAGGTTTTGTCTTGAGGACTGGGGCGGAGAATGGGCTAGAGTTCGCAACCTCGAAACCTCTTCTCTGGCAGAAGCCTCAAACACCCACAAAAATCTCAACAATGTGCTGGAATAGTCAGTCCTCAGTGACAGCCCTACACCCTAAACCCTCTAACTTGAAAGCTTGATCATCATTCCCTTCAGTCAACTGGCGAAGGTTGGAACCTACGACCAGTGGCACACGCAAGAGTTTCTGGAGGTCGGATCTTGTCTTGCCTGGGGCTTCTCTAGGCGTGGCGGATTAAATATAAGGGCACGTCTTCCCCTACAGTATCTGTGTAGTTGTCGCCAAGAGCCTAGCCCAAATCCCTATTCCAGATACTATGATCTCGCACGGCATGAAAGTATGGCTCAGGTAGAGCTTGTCGTGGCAGGTGTTGCTGCTTCGGCCTGTTCAATGGCGATTTTCCCATGGTGCGTCTTCCATCAGACGCCCCAACCGATTGAGTAATGTAGAAGTCACGACCCTCACTTTCGGGTATGAGCCGTGCACCACTCACACCCTAAGGGCTCGCTCCGTACGGTTTAGGTTTTAGGGTTTAGGGTTTAGGGAATAGTACATTTACCATGTTCATAGGGTCTATTCAATATCTCCATGCCCACAGAGGATTGAACGAGCAGCACCGATCTCCCCTTACGGTCCCAGTAGCATAATCTAATTCTGTGATATACCTCAAAGCTACATGGGTGGTTGTCAATGTTAGGGTCCCTTTTTGGGTCCGTATTACAATACGGCACCTCATATTTAGGGTACCCAGAAAGGGACCATAATTTTGACAACCACCCACATTCCGATTGTCGAGACCCCTAGGTTATGTGACATTACGGGTCCGGTCTATCGCACAAACGCGGAGGAGCTGGGCAACTGTGTCTTGCAGCTGATCCTTTCAATTCCCGGCGGAGTGCTCTGCTTTCTGATCCTCGGACTTGGCCTTGGGTGATGTGGGGAAGGTCGATTTTCGGATCTTGGAATAAACAACTTAATTCAATTTTCTACCGTTCTCGCGAGATTCTCATGCCAACCTGCCTTGAACCGCAAGACTGCGAAACCCAGAGCCCCGAAACCCATAGCGCTAAACCCCGAGGCAATCAAGCCTCCTCGATTCCGTCCCTGACCTGAATGGACCTGCAGGGTCAGGGGTTTCAGGAGTGAGCTTACGGTTTAGGGCTAGGGGTTTGGTAGGGTCCTCATGAACTGCACATTTGAAGTCTTGAACAATAGCCTGCAGATAATATGTTATGGCCGTAGTTTATTTGTTGTAGAGCTTCAGGAGTTTCATTTCAAAGTTTCAATTTTGGCACTAAGATGGGAACTTGGCCTCCCCCCTGCCATCGAAACTTGTTGGTGCATAAGTGGATCCCTACTATCCTTGTTCAGGACCCCGGACCCTATGTAGACTCTACACCCACAAACCCTGAACTCCACCTTAAGCCCTTAGCCTTGAAACCAACCCTTCAACCCCTAAACCGCCAGCCCTAAACCCTCAAACCCTAAACCCTGAAACCTTAAACCCCTAATCCCTAAATCCTAAACCCCGAAATCCTAAACCCCTATAAGCCCTCAAACCCTAAACCCTGAAACCCTAAATGCCAAGGCCCAGCTATCAGACGTTGGAGCTTGCGACAGCAGCCTGGAAACGCCGGGGCGGGGCCTCCGGAGGAGGCCTGTATTGGGGTAGGGTTTAGGATTTAGGGTTTAGGATCTACGGTGTAGGGTTGTCGTATAGAATACAGTCGAAAATACCGCATCTATAGTAGTAAATATGACTGTAGATGTGATGAGGTTTATAGTAGTTTGTATGACAGTACATATGAAAGTATAGGTTATCGTATGTTATATGATATAGCTTGTTGTAGTATGTTCTAGTATGTTAAAGTCTATTGCAGCTTAAATGGCTCCGAAGGTGGGGTGAACGGCGGTGGGGATAAACAGGCTAAGAGTCTCACTTTGGGGAACGTTCATCCTACATTCTGTCATGCCATCTTTCCAGGCCTTCTTTGGGCTTGGGATCAGGGTTTAGGGTTCGGGGTTGTAAGGTTTGAGTCGGTTATAGAGGACCCCAAAAGGAAATATAAGGGAACTTCCCGGAGCAATAGCAAGGTGCCGTGCTATGGGACCCCAAACCCTGAACCATAAGCCCCAGTGGGGCCGTTTTTATTTTGTTCAAGGCTTCGAGTTGTGCGGCCTTGAAACGGTGTGGGTCTGGGTGGCAGGGATGTCAGGACGCTGGATTAGGATGTCGGCCCTGTGGGGTGTGCTCCTTTGACCTTGACGATGTGAGTTTAAGGCTTCGGGTTCGGGTCCTCATACCCCTGAAATCAGTTGCAGTTGACTGAAGGAAGATCTCAACAGCCTGATGGGTTGGTATAGGGCCCGCGCTTGCGCCTGCGCGAAACCGGTCAGCACACCTTTCACGTTCAAGGCAAGGAGGGCGATGCCGCAACCCTTTGCGGCCATGAAACCCGTCTGCCAAGGAAACTTGGCACCGTAGGGCAGTCCAGCACCCCGACCTTCGCAAGGCTGAGGTGTGTCTTTCGGCAACCGCAAGTAGCAATTGGCTACACAGATGTCTTGACACGTTTTCTCGGGACGTGACATGTGGACGAGGCACCGACCTTCGCATACGCGACAGCCCTCCTGCTGGTCTTTGCTAGTGCGCGCACCAGTGGCACTTCATGTCAACACCCCTGGCGGATGCTCAATTACCGTCAGTCGTCCGAACCTTCATGTGCTAGTTGGTGGTGGGTCGCGCGGTTGTTCGGATCTACTGGCTGCCAGGACTGCCCAAGGGGTCTTGAGTTTTGGTGTTGAGCCTCGGAGCAGTGCTACCCACTAGACCCTGGATCCTCGCCCGACAGCCCACCGTGGGCATCTACCCTAGACCCTGCCGGTTCTACTTTGAAGCTTAAGCGTGACGTGTTTGGAGTTTAGCCTGGAATTTTGTTGGCTTTGTGATCTCCACGGTTTCAGGATTCACAAACGTAACTCTTGCTCCAGGGTCCAAAATCCTCGTTAACTCGTACATCTTTCGGACCCTGTCTGTCTATTCCATGAGGCAGCCTGTGGCGAAGGATGGAGGAGGCCCGATCCGCAGTGCCAGGAGGTGAGAATTCTCAGGGGAATGTGAAAGCATACTATCAACCTTTAAACCCGAAACAGAGCCTTAGGATAGCATAGTACCCGGATTTTGGGTGAAAGGCTGTTGGAGTTTCGGAGCCAGACACCCCATCATGTATGACGTGCACAGATCCCGATGTGAAAAACCTTCAAGCACTTCAGCGGTTTAAGACCTAAGGTTTGGGGTCTACGAAGCCCGGTTCCATGTGGGCTTCAACAGATTCTCGAAACGGCACAATCTTGTGAAGATACTTCAAGCGAAGCGATGATGTGAGTAAAGAGTCGGGAGACCGGGCTATCCAGCCCAATTACCTTCGTAGTAGATTGCTGGCTATCGGCTATTTTCATTTCAGGGTTTAGGGTTTAGGGCTATTTTCATTTGCTTACAGATGTTGTAACAAACTGTGCCCATGATTTCGTTGACTTGGGCTTCTAGCGTCTGTGCAGGTGAAGGGCGCGCTCGTCTCAGAGCCACGTAGTGCTGGCAAGGAGAGGGCTTCCAGCAGTCGGGGATTCTCGTTTTGCAGGGCTTCATTGCGATGTATTGGGTGTCAAAAGTTTGCTATGACAGTTTCCACCTATCAGCAGCCGTGAAGCGATGTGGCGCATTCCTGTAGGAAGTGTCGCCACGGCAGAGAAGCCTTGCTCAAGAAAGGCCTGCAAATGCTATCCGGGAGGTAGGAACTTCGTTTCATTCGAGCGGCATTCTTTCAACGACCTCCCCGGTAATAAAGGTTAGCGCACGCTTCTTTGTGGCACAGGAGGTTGGTCGATATGTGGGAATTTGCACAATGCAGCGGACTTTAGTGAAGCCTACACAGCAGGATCCTCATGTTCAGCATCCCCTAGCAAGGCACCTGTAATGGTTAATGTTCAGAAACCCACATGTCTACCTTCAGCTGGTCCTCCGTTCAGGAGATGTCGGACGCCTGTGCCACTTTCATTAACAGCACCTTGGCGCGAATCTCTACTGACTGAGAGAGAGTTCCACAGAGAATTTTGTCGGTCAAAGACGAGAGATCTATCCTTATGGTCCCTGTATACCTATACCCTTACAGTAAATACCCCCAAAGCCAATTAGTATTAGCATCTACATCAGTAGTCGGAGCTTTTGTCTGGCGACCACTACCCCCAAATCTTTCGCAGATCGGCAAAGTAAGCTTAAAGGGTTTGGAGGGTTTAATTTGGGCTTGGGGCCACTGATTTCTGAGCGAGTACCTTCTGTGGCCAGTATTCGCCACACGTGCTGATACTGCTTTAGTTGTCCATTCGTCCTGCTTTGTGACGCCCTTCGCCCCGGCTCGTCACTGTTGAGCCCGCCATACGTGCCGACGTTGTCGTCCGCCATACGCGCCGACGCAATGATTTTTAGCTAGTGCAATCAGCTCAATGCTGCTGTGAATGACAACGAGAACCCAGTAAGACTCCAGTATTCATATCGTTCTAATTACTGTGGTTGCAGCTTGGGTCTATGTCGATGGAGTTCCCGCTCCAACTGTGGCTGCTGCCCCTATTTGCGATGATCCTTCCTGTTGTCATTACGATGATATATAACGCAAGCAAAGCAAACCTGCTAGGGAGAAGGAACACCTCCAACTCAATAAGTGGAATGTAGACCAAGTCCACAAACCAGAAAGCCCTAGAAGAGGATTACAGAATGTTTTGGTATTAGGACCTTAAGTTCATCTGCTTGACAATGACTCTCTTTCGAACCCCAAAGCCCGAATTTCATCAAGAAAGAAAGACAGTGGCACTCTGGCGCTCTTGGAAGACCAGGCGTTCGAAGTGGCCATGGGGCTCTCGCACTGGCGGTGTACCGTGGGAAGATGAGCGAAGGAGCTCTTTGTTTGGTTTCTTTAATTTCAAGTTTCTAACTGTGAGAAGGGAAGTAGCCTTATTAAAAGGTCATTCATGTTGTGGTCACTCTTGTGCCTTCTTTGAGAGTGGAGGATGCTTGCTAAGGCGCAAGCCCCCGAGACCTGAGGGTATGTTATGCCGCGTCTTTGCGATGAGTTCGGGAGTCTTCCGGAATTGCTCTCCGGGAGATCGATGCTGTGGGATCCATCACTTGAACCCCTAAACCGTGATTAAGCTTCAAAATCGGCCCCGGAGCCCTCAAACTCCAGCAGCCCGACCTTAACCCCGTTTTTGCCTACCCTGTCAGGGTTCCTTGTCATGATCTCCTTATGAGTCCTTCAACAGCTATATAGGTTCTTTGGGTTCAGGACCTAAACCGGAACGGCGAAAGCAGGACTCGACTTCACCGATGACCTCTGTCGGGCGGTAATCTGCATCGGCATTCCCTATCCGCAGGTGCCGCTTGGCTTATGGTTTCGGGCTCAGGGCATACACTTGTTGAGGATTCCCCTGTAGAACTGCGAACCCCACGCCCACCCCGCCCCACCAAAGCCTGCAAGCTACCCCATGGCAGTCGAAAAAAACGCCGAAGAGGAGGCGAGGAGTCAGCTGTTTGTTGGCGGAGTCTTGAGCTTATAACATCGGTTCTTTCCGTCTAAGGAGGTCTAGATCTACAGAGATAAGGGTTTCGGGTGAGGGTGCTGGGTTTTGGGCCGTGTAGGTTTCAGCGTTCTGGGCTTCGCGGCTCAGTTTGGAGGGGCTGGGGTTTAGGATGGAAATTTGCCACAATATGTCCTGCTATGAAATAAAGCCTTAGATGCCCCAAGCATGTGTCGCCTAAGGAACGACCCGGTGGCGGCTTGGCTTGTTCTTTGCAATCTCTGCCGTCCTAAGTTGCCTAAATGTTGGGTTACTGCAGCTGCACTTGGTATGGTTTGGGCCATAGGATTTCGTTTGTTGTGATTCCTTAGCAGAGGCTTGAAAGCTAGCCACGCTTGCAAGGACACTTGCAGAAACTCTAAACCCCTCTACATCCCTCATCCTGAAGTACCGCACGGCCCAAATCCAAAACCCAACAGCACCTAAAGATCACGAAGTGCCCCTGTGCTATCAACTCCAGAACGCGCAGCGTCTCAGGAGTTCGGACACAGAGTGGGTTGAGGCTTTGGGATTGAGGGCTTAGGGTTTATAGGGGTTTAGGTTGAGTGTTGAGATTTCTTGACTCCCGCGGAGAGAGGCGAGTAAACTCATCTCAGGTTGCGAGCTCCGGCTTATCGGGATTTGGGAGACATGAAGTTGGGGTTTCAGATAGGACGGAAGAATTGCCAACATTATTCTTCAGGGTTACTTAAGACAAGTTGCAGGTAGATCTTAATCTACACGAAAATTCTGTCTGCTCGACTTGGAAGATCGATGCCCGCACATACTGCCGGTTCGAGATTCCATGGCTAGGGACTGAGTGTTCTGCCCAGCGCACAGTCTCACAGTCTTCTGTTTTGGGCTTGGCATAGAAAGATTGAGATGTGTTTGATGCTTGGAAGCTAGGAGGAGTGTTGGACTGCGACGTGGTTGCTAAGCATGGCTAAGGAAGGACTACTCGTCTTGTTTCTTTGCTTACTGTTCAATATCACTCACATCTTCTTGATCTTGGAGTTGCACTAGGTTTTGGGATGGGCTATGCCATCACAATGTTCGGCACTATGGGGGGGATAGCATTGCTAATTATTCCCACCCTTGCATTGTGGGATATTGGAGTCTCTCAGGTATTGGCAAAACGACAGTGGAATGATTCCCGCACGCGCAAAGTGGGCACTCTCAACGGCTTCTTGGCCGCGATAGGCTGGTGCCAGTATAGGGGCTTGAATGATCAGAGATTTAACGTATTCCGTAGGATTCTGTAGGGGACCCTGGTATAACTATGAATGGTTTGTTTAAGTAGCAAGCCCCTACATTCGTCCTGCTCAAGGTCGTTTTGGGTCTCCTTTCATGTCTCTGCAGGTGTCAAGGGAATGACCATACCACCCAAACCACGTACCTTTCGCCCGAAGCTCTTCACTCAAAAGATTATAAGCCCTACACTTCTTCAGTGTAAACCCAAACGGCCAAACCCTTACTCCCTGACCTGCACGATTGTCACAGAGTGAGGTAATGGAATGCAGCTCCAGATCTTCAGCTTTCCCAAGAACTATACGCCCTTCGACCCTACTTAAAGGATCATGGGACTTAGTAAGTAAGGCTATAAGTACCTTAATATAAGTATATACCTTAATTGGGGTTATAAGTATAGTTACCCTAATTATATCCCTAGTTACTAAGTCCCATGATCCTTCAAGTAGACTACAAACCCCCAGACCCATATGGGAGGAAGCCAGATCTCCGTCTGTCGGACTTAGCATGTTTCCGAATCGGGAAGTCTGGGGCTAGTGTTGTATTTGGTGCTACTGGGGCCCAGATAATTACCATAATGGTAATTATGGGGCTCCTTATTTTTATAACAAAGGTATCATGGGCCCTAAAACCACATTTTGATTATTAAGGCCCCTAAAGTAAGTCCCAACAGCCTTGGAGCCTGGGCTTACCTCTGTCCACCCCTCCCTCGCTAGCAAAGCTCCGAGGCGACCAGTGGTACGAGCAGCAGGCTTACCGTGCGATCAACCAGGCGCGAGAGTTGAGAACTCCTCAGAGAGCCCAATACCCCTCAATTAAGGAATATGGCTTAAGTTATAGGGGGCTTCATATTATGATTTTTAAGCTATATTCCTTAATTAAGGGATATTGGGCTCTCTGGGCCTGAATCACTGAACCCGAAACTCTCGGCCCTAACTGATCCCTAAATCCACACCCCAAGAGTTGAGAACCCTGAACCCCTAAGCCCTATGGGCATTTTTCAGTGACCTTGTGCCTTGTGTTGCAGGAGAAGAGGAGCGATAAAAAAAGAAACCGGGCCCTAAGCAATCCCTAAATCCTAACCATCGCAGCCGGAATACGAACCGATAGAAAATGTAGATTACACACCACCCTCACAAACCCCGATCCCCCCCCCTTAAGCTCCTTACAATAAGGATCCTAGTATTTAGGGCACTATATTCGGGGTCCCCTATTAAGCAAGAAGCCGCCGAACCAGGCCCTGGGTCGATGTTTACGACATCACAAGGACTTTGGGGCCGTGCACCCTGGGTCGCAGAGGGGTCTTTGGAGTTGGTTTCAAGGTTTAGGGTTTAGGGTTCAGTTTCAGGCTTGGAGCGCCGTTGATCATTGGGTTTAGGGTTTAGGCCTTCTTTATCCTTTTTGTTTCGGGCTTGGGGTTTAGGGTTCTGTTCAGTCTCAGATTCGGAGCGCCTTCTTTATCCTTTTGTTTAGGGTTTAGGGTTATGGTGGCGTGTGCGTATGGCTTTTTACTTTAAGGTATATTCCTTAATTAAGGGGTTTTGGAGGCTCTGGGTTGGGGTCCCCATTAATGGTCCCTCCTTCTCCCCTTCAAAAATTGGCCTAAATCATGCGCATTTGTTCCCAAGGCTGCTGCTGGACGCTCGCTGGGCTTCCCGCGGAGAGCGAGCCCGAGGTCCACGGAGGGCTGTGCCATCGGGGGTGCCTGCATCTTAGGGTTGAAGATACAAATCCTGCCTACCTTAATGACCCTAGACTATGGGAAGAATGGACCCTAAACCCTAAACCCTTAATGACTCTAGACTATGGGAAGAATAGACAAAGAGACCCAAACTCGAAAGGACTCGTAGGGTTGATGATATAAATCCTGCATTACCTTAAGGACCCTAAACTATGGGAATTACAGTATATTCCTTGTTATGGGTAATGCAGGATTTATGTCATCAACCGTAGGGTGGTGTAGGGTCCTACACCGTACCCCATACCAAAAAGGCCCTTCTGGTCCATGTTAACACTGGGCCAAGGCCCGGATTAGGAGGATTTCAAAACAGGGTCCTACTTCCGCGTTCTATACCGTGGGTCTAGGCGGCTTTGATCGGTGTGTTTTACTAAACTAGGGTGCTTTCAGGGTTTATGGGGTTCAGGACATCGAATCTACCTTAACCTACCAACCCCTAGATTTTTGTAGGCTCTGAATATATTAACCCTCATATGGAGTTTATAAGGACCTCAATTCTAGATGCTCGGTGGTTTAGGGTTTCTCGTGTTTGGAGTTTTCATGTGTCGGGTTTAGGCCTGGGGGTTTCGCGGTCTCAGGTGTTGGGCGCAAGGAAGGCCAGTCTATGCTGATAAGGGAGAATTGGATTTGGGGCCAGTTTTAGGGTGATTAAATGAGAACAGTCACTGATGTGCTTCTCCAGCATCTCACTTGGCGCCTACTGCAATTCGTGTTTTTCGATTGTTCTTCGCTTGTGGCCTGAAAGAGTGGGTTACAGCTCCGAGTGCTTACACGAAAGGCATAATATTGACTTCGGGGATCTGAATCGATGTACTTCATTCCAGGAGGGTTTAGGGTTTAGGAGTTTAGGGTTGGTATCAACAAGGGCGGAATCCTAAACCCCAAACCCTCAACCAATTGAAGTCTTCTCGGAATCCGTAAATACTGTGCCCCCGACTTGCCGATTCCGTGAGGTGCCCGCAGGGCCTTCAACAAGTTTCGAAGATCTCAGGGCCGTGGGGGCCTGGCCCACTCAAATGGTTCAAATATGGAGTCCAAATTCATAAGTCGAAATGATACAGTGTGACCTTGTGGTTAACGGCTCCCATATCATGATACTATAGTATGTCTGCATATTTACATACGCACACAAGTGATATCTATCAACATCTACTTAAAGTCATATGGCCACATCAATCTATCCACATGAGACGAATGTCCGAATCTCCAGTTCAGCAGACCCGAAAACTTCAAATCCCTGAACCTCAAAGCCTTCTAAAGCCTCATCAGCTAAACGCTGAACCCCGACCTTTACAGTAAATCTACCCAGTCTGCCCCTATCATACCCCCGCGAGAAAGAACGGAGAGGCCTGCGCAAGCATCTCGCTCCGTGGCTCCAGCGCCACGTTTTCGAGTCGAACCTGAGACTCACTATTAAGTGCTTTGCTCATTTGTGGTTCAACGTTAATTTGGTGATCAGAGTTTAGGCCTCAGGGTCCAAGTAATTACCAGGTAACATAAGGGACCACGCCGCGGAACAGCGCCTGTGAGTGAGGCTCAGGGGTGACATGTAGCACTTTGCCGGCTTAGGTCTCCGGAATAAGTACGAAGGTAGAAAGTCTCAGGTTGAACCAAATTGATTCCGGGTGTTTCGATTTCGATTGTTTGTATGAGTGGCAGGTTAGGTTCATTCTTCCAGCCGCTGGGTGCCAGTCTTGGTAAGATTCTCCACTCTCACCAGGAGTTGAATCATGTCCCTTGAACTGACAATCACGATCTAAGTCTGTGTATATATGGTCATGTATAGAGAGTACACTGCAACTCTCTTCTAATTCTTACAGGACCACTGTTTGATGTCTGCGCCCATTTACCACCGAGCTTCATAGCAGCAGTGACGTGTTGGGTATATGTTTCAGTGCGTGCGTTTGGTTTGCCGTTGGGCACAGATTTGAGGGACCACGGCCAACCAAGGGGTGTTCTCAGAGACTCCCAGAGCATTCATGCACCAATTTAGATCGAAATTGTATAAAGAACTCCTCAGAAAATTAAGGTGTATTCTAGGGTATCTTGCTCTCTGGGCTGGACGCCGGCGTGAGCCTTGACCACTCAGAGCATCCGCAACCTGAGTCTCGCCGTGAGCCTCTTGTCAGCTTTCCTATGGATCGACGCACGTTGCAGCCTGGCCTTCGTTTCAAGAGTACTTAAAGGATCATGGGACTTAGTAACTAGGGTTATAATTAGGGTAACTATACTTATAAGCCCAATTAAGGTACTTATAACCTTACTTACTAAGTCCCAAGATCCTCCAAGTAGGGAGGCTAAAGAGCGACCTGCAGGCATCATGGCTCTGCGCGTGCTGGGGCACGACAACTTGTATGTAAGTAGCCTGGACGTTTACCACCTGTTGTTGCTCGGGCACCACCTTCGCCGCACGGATTGGGCCCAGCATGTTCTGCCCTTTTTGGGATGGCGCATGTTGGGCTCCAACGCCATCGGAGGTGGCTACTCAACATATGCCATCAGTGCGACTTCAGAGCTTGTCTGCTTCGGCGACGATCGCGATGCTGTGCCATCAAACCTCGGTCCAGTGGTGGCCGTGGCTGCCGGAAATTCTCACACCTGTGCATTGAAGGCGAGTGGCGAGCTGGTTTGTTTCGGAGACAATGAGTATGGTCAGTGCGACGTGCCTCCCGACATCAGTCCGGTGGTGGTCGTGGCCGCCGGACACTTTCACACCTGTGCCGTGAAGGCGAGTGGCGAGCTGGTATGCTTCTGGGACAACGACCTTGGCGGTCAGTGCGCCGTGCCTGCCGACCTCGGTCCGGTGGTGGCCGTGGCTGCCGGAGACGTGCACACCTGTGCCGTGAAAGCGAGCGGCGAGCTGGTTTGCTTCGGAACCAACCTCTTTGGTCAGTGCGACGTGCCTGCCGACCTCGGTCCGGTAATGGCCGTGGCTGCCGGAGACTCTCACACCTGTGCCGTGAAGGCGAGTGGCGAGCTGGTTTGCTTCGGAAACAATAAGTGTGGTCAGTGCGATGTGCCTGCCGACCTTGGTGCCGTGGTGGCCGTGGCTGCCAGAGGGGACCACACCTGTGCCGTGAAGGCGACTGGCGAGCTGGTTTGCTTCGGAAGCAATACGGATGGTCAGTGCGATGTGCCTCCGGACCTCGGTCCGGTGGTGGCCGTTGCTGCCGGATTAGATCACACTTGCGCCGTGAAGACGAGTGGCGAGCTGGTTATCTTCGGAGATAATCGCTGTGATGTGCCGCCAGGCTTTAGGGTTCGGCTTGTCCCACAGTCCATCCGCGCACCTACACCCGATCCAATGCAGGAGGTGCTGCAGCCCGTGCATCACGACGAGCCTGCTGCTGACATCTCGGAAGAGGAAGGCGCTGCAATCGTGGCGGAACAGGAGGCATCTTGGATTGAGCACAACATCGGATCCGGCTGGCATGGCGACGACATACAGCCTCAGATGCCTGCTGCATTTACTCGGGTAGTGCATTTGACGTTGAGCCGCGCGCATCCCCAGCTGGACACGGATCTGGAGCATTCTCTGGCCTTGCAGCCATGCCGGCAGGCCCTGCAGGACGAGGGCTTGGACTGGTGCTTGCAACCCTCTGGTGCCAAAATCTTCATGGAGCCTTTCTGCTTCCGAGCCATCCGCAGCCATCTGTCCACCATGCGACTGAGGAACTGCGACATCTTCGTTGCAGCAAACCTAGAAGCAGACGTGCGCCAAGTGGTCCAGCAGATCCCCCGCAGTCTGCGCGTGATCTCACGGCACTCCCGAGACATCGGCTTCGCAGATGAAGATGGTGAAGTGGTGTTGGTCAGCCGCTCCTTCCTAAACATTCCCGCAACGCCACTCCTCAATCCGTCCGTTGTGACGCAGTCCACCACAGAGGCGCGGACGCGTCAGGGGTACCGAGGCACGAACCCACGCAGATTCCAAGTGCACTCATGAGACTCATGAGACTGCTTGGAGGATTGGGGTTATAAGTAAGTATAAGTATAGTTACCATAATTATAGCCTAAGTTACTAAGTCCTATAACCCTTTAAGTGCTTTATTCCATTACGGATTTGGTACCCGGGCGTACAGGAAGAAACACGCAGGCCTTGGCCAAGCCATCCCTGGATACCCAGGGGGCTCTTGTTCAGTTTTGAGCGTCTACGCATTGTACAGCTGCTTTCGCCACAGTGCCTTGGAGTGACCTGCGTTAGCTTCCTCCAAAGTCGCCGTTGGCAGAGGCATAGCCGTTGAGCCGGAATTGGAAGCTGCGGCAAAACTCAGACGGTCTCAGACTTGTTGACTCCACCCTAAAAACCCTAAACCCCTAAACTTTAAACCCTACACCCCTAAACCCTGAACCCTATAACAATCACAGTACAGCGCAGAGCATCGTACTTTAGATGCGTGCGACCCGTCTCTCACTTGGCCAAGGACCAGCTGCGAAGAATTGAGTCGACGTCTTCAAGCACACTTTCAAGCAGCCAGGAGAGGGCTCTAATGTTTATAGGGACTCAGGCTGAGGATTTTTGGGCGGGTTTAGGGCTTTGGGGGGTTTAAGATTTGAGGGTGTAAGAGTGTTGGGCTTACCTTAACCTCCCAAAACCTACTTTTTTGTAGGGTCCGTATAAATTCCATATTAGGGTTTATAAGAGGAACCTACAAAAAAGTCGGGTTTGGTAGTTCAAGGTAGAAGTCTGAATAATGTGTAGCATTATATTCCTCACTAGCAGGGGCCGACGAACCTCCACAATTGCTGAAACATTCCTTGAACTTAAGACCTCAATCTAGTTCTGAAGGCCTCTACAGCACACCCAGAGACCCCAAAACCACTTAATTAAGCAATGTACGTGAATTGTCAGGGTCTCTTCGCATGGCTGTACTAATTATCTTGCACAGTAAAGATGCTTTCAAGTCTTTGGGTGAAGAGGGGTCTATGTGAGTGGCTACTAGAACGATTGAGCTTACTTCAATGCTTAGCAAAAGAGTTATATCAGCGTTTGGGACGGCTTTCTATGTAAGGTTTTGGGTGGGTGAGGGCTTCAGTTTTAAGCCCCCTAGTACGCAATCTGAGGCACCGATCGAACAGTTCATGATACAGCGCCTGCAGGTCTTGGATTTCAAGCTGTTCTTATGGCTCGGGAGTGAACGGACATGAGGGTTAAGAGTTTAGGGTTTAGGTGATAGTTTTCAACTCTATCTCGCATCAGGATGCCGTCGGATGTGACGCGAACGCCAGCTGCAGCACAGCAGGTATCGCGTTGCTTTTTGGGATGTCGCTTCAGAAGTTTGGGTTGAGCGGTCCTGGAGACAAGCCCTATATGCAAATGGAATTATGGAACTTCAGCCCTGTAAATTAAAGGCCGTCTCTGGCAAGCCTGTAAAGTGTCGGATGTTTCGGTTGGGACCTCCGAGACTGGAGGGCATTGTCAGTGCGGGGTGCAAAAGCCCTATAGAGCTTGCAGCCTAGAGACTCCAAGACTCTTTATTTCAAGCCGTCATCTACTCTGAATCACAGTTGGAATCACCCTGTAGTACCCTGTAGTCCTATAGATTGAGGTATATTGCGTAATCAGCGGGTGTAGGAATCTCTGGGATGTTGAATTTCAACCGGTAGACCACAAAGATGTCGGGCTCGCCCGGCATCCAACTTGTGAGTTGTTGGCTTGTGGTCTGAGTGGGGTTGTACCCCGGAGAGTGCTTAAGTCGACCCTTCATTGCTTGTTCTCTGCAACTCCGACACGGATGAATTTGACAACGCAGTGCTTGCATGTGGATTACTACTCAGAGGGTACGGTGCATCGAGGGTTCGGACTAGTTCAGACCAGAGCATGGATGCTGTGGTTTTGTAGTCGATTTCTGAGAGCTCTCATGGGAGCCCACTGGGAGCCCACCTAGTGAATTCTTGAAACGCCACAGGGGGATCCGCCCCACAGCTACCTGGTCACGGCAGCCTACCCGGATACCATAACGACGCCCCACAAGGTGCTACGTCCTACCTACCTTAGCACCACGTACAACCCTTGATGTCACCTGGACACGCTCAACAGCCCAAAGCCGCAAACTTGAAAAGCCCCGAGATGCCGAAAGACAACGAAACCCCTAGAAACCCAAACTGCCTGCAAAGCACGCTTCACCCACAGGGTTCACATATTTATTAATATATATATATATATATATATAAGACCATCATGCAAGCAGGTCCCCAATACCATATTAGGGATGGTCTTTTGGGACCTAATTCCATAATGGTAGTATATCTGGACCCTCGGGGAAAATAGAGTATATAACTTTCCCTTGGGATCCAGTTACCTAGGCTATTAGGGTACCCCTAAACCCTAAACCCTAAATCCCTAAACCCCTAAACCCTTAGACCCTAAACCCCCAAACCCCCAAACCCCTAAAAACCCTCAACCCCTAAACCCTAAACCCCTAAATCCTAAACCCATCATACTTATCACTGGTCATTTCGTTTATGTGAAGTTGGGCACAGAGAGAGGCGAGTGGAGTCCCAGAGCCTGCCGCCGTGCCAGAGGAGGCCATCCAAAAAGTTTTGCCGTGGCAAACTAAGCAATGCTGGCATACAGTATATAATGCCCGAATATTTAATATGCAATAATATATACATATAAACAGACAAATACATAATCATGTATATATATATATATATATATTAATATAAGAATATTTTAACATACCCTGACGGCTAAACCCCGTGTTCCTCAGGATTTTCCGGTTTGTTTTGATAGGAGCCCAAGCGGCTGAGCAAAGAAATCAGAACCCCCAACCTAGCCTTTACACCAATCTACACGGACCCTTATTGTACCCTACAAACACAACTTACACGGACGACAAGGCCTCCCATAAATCTCTATCAGAGGGCTGGTAGGTGGGTCCCTGGTAGCGTCTTCGGTTTCCTGGCTTTTGGGCAGCACCTCAAGGACGAAGGTGATTTCGAGGATGACTTCGCCTAGTTATAGTTGGAGGGTCATGGGACTTCGTAAATAGGGTTACAAGTACCCTAAGTGGGGTAATAAGTGATTATAGGTATAGTTACTCTAATTATAGCCCAAGTTACTCAGTCCCATGACCCTTTAAGTAACGACGGCAGCCGATCATGACGACTGTTTTTGTGCTGCCTAAGCCAACTCTCCAGTCGACAACCGCCAGTAGGGCAAGATGATGATGTTGATGTTGGTACGGTTGTGCGAATCAACAACATTCAACACCCATGTATGCAATTTTTGTCTACCACTACTGCTCCCACTGCTGCTGCTCCTCCGGCTGCCACAGCTGCGACGACGATGAGGGAAAGGGACCCACACCGCTGATAGCATTCTTCGTCAATGTTGCCAAGACCGATGAGCGTAAGCGTTTAGCACTCGTGCGACGAGCTTCCCAAATGCATCGAAGCCGTAGGCGCAGGGTGCGCGACCAAAGCCGAAGAGGCGTCTTCTAGACCTGCTGAAGGCGCGCTGTGGCGCTGCTTTGGGAAAGGGATTCTATCAGGCTTCTGCGGCCCTTGACGGAAGGTCGTTGTGAGGTTTCGGTTTGAGAGGCTGGGAACCTGCGCTAATTGGCTGCTGGCATTGGGTGTTCAGGGGCCTAGGTTGGCCATAGAGTGTGGTTCCTTCAGAGTTTCAAAACAGAGGCGCGCCCAAATCTAAGACACTTAATCCACAAGGCCATAGGGCTCTTCGTTGCCCAATTCTTTGTTTGTTTGGACTATGGTTTCCTCAAGCACCCCTACGTAAGGACCAGGGACACCCGAATCTTTTCCTAAACCCGAAACCCCAAACCTTGAATCCTAAACCTTAAATTAGATCCCAAGCCCTCAACCTTCAACCCTCGCTATATGTTGGGCCTACCTTAGAGAATGGCTGAACCCTAAGTCTGGTGTTAAGTGCTCTACGATTTAGGACTTTTATATCTCTCCTTTAACCCGGGTTTGGAGTACCATACTTGAATACTTGTTTTTGCTACCTGTTCCTTTAAGGAACCATTATGAAGTAAAAGTCTATACTTTTCTCTCCCTGGTTACCTCAAAGTCCAGTTAATGTAGCCCGAAACGCTCTTGTACTGACTAAGGCTTTTATATTACCTCACCCTGCTCGGCAGGCAGATGCACTGAAGCGCTGCGTCGCGGGGGGGCACGCGGTCGTTCAATCAGGCATTTCTTGTGATTCCGGAATGGTGTGGGAAACCAACACAGGCCTTTTGTTAATACCTAGTAACTTGGTAGCAACTTAGTAATGTAGGAGCGTGATTAAGACTTGAGAAAGCCTAATCCAGTAACAATAACCCCGAAATATCAGGATCCAATTAAAGAGCCCGAATACAGACCCAAGGTGTCCCAACCCTGTAACAGCTGTAGTATAACATGCCCCAAACCCAATTGAAAACCATCAAAGGCCCCGAAACCCAGAAAGCCTCATCATATAACCGTTAACGGAACCCTATTCGAATCGTTCAGGCCCGTGCATAAGATATTAAGAGGCATGCTTCCGGCTCGTTTCTTCGAGGTGTGTTGTGAACTCGTGTACGAAGTTTTACCATATGCACGTATGCATGCATGTACGTATGTATGTATGTATGTATGTGCACATGTATGTATGCATGCGTGTAAGTATGTATGTAAGTATGTACGTATGTGTGGATGTATATATATATATATATGTGTGTCTGCATAAATAAATAAATATGTATATGTCTGTGTGAGCATACATGTGGTTAGAAGTTCAACACATGAGTTGTTAAGTAAGGGAATCGAATAGGTGGACATATGTATATACATGCATCTATATATATATATATATACACATACACACACACACACACATGTATGGTTAAACATAAACATACGTGCGAGTGGTGCGGCACTCATGTTTTATGAGCGCAAAGTCTTGTGTAGTTGTCATCTTGTAAGTAGGAGGTGGCTCATAAGCATCTATCTATCTATCTATCTGTCTACCTGTCTACCTGTCTATCTGTCTGTCTGTCTATCTGTCTATCTGTCTATCTATCTCTCTCTCATATATATATATATATATATATATATATACACACCTCGTTGATGATGATGATGATGATGGTGATGTTGACGACCATGAACAAGTTGATGATCGTGTGGTTCTCAGGGGCAATCCTGGTTTTCGACTTGCGGACTCAACGCCTCCAGGCAAACATCTCCCCATCCTCCCTCTGTCAGAATGGGGGCTCATCGTTTTGGCTTAGGGGTGTGGAGTGTTAACTCCGAGCTTGGGATGGAGCATACACCCAAACCTCAGGCTGCCGTTGGGGGGGCTGCCGGTGGAGGGCTCTGGGGGTTTATGGTTCAGGCCCAAAACCCTAAGGATCTACGGACTCATATATGAAGGCTTTTGGGCCCAAGGACCATACTATATAAGGCTTTTGGGATGTTTTGATCCCTAGGGAATATATGATTAGTACATATATACAAGTTTTTATTTTTTAGTGTTATTATTTTTATTATTGTTATTACTTTTACTATTATTGTACATATATATATATATACACACAATTTAGGGCCGAACGCCAAGAGATGCCGCAGCAGGCCGCACTCGACATCTTCTGCCGCCTCTGCGGATTGGCTGATGCCGTTTTTTCTGCTTGGCAGAGTTGGAAACCCGACGCTCTTTGTACCGTTACAATAGAGTACCCCAAATAGTAGGGTTCTTATTATAGGGACCCCAGAATAAGGTACCCCTAAGTTTCGGAAACTCCCAAATACTGAGCTTGAGCCGTAACTCCTAAACCTTTCGAAATAAATCCACGCCAGAAATCCTCAGCTCTAGACACTGGGCTTCTTCGCTGTGTTCTTCGGCGTGCTATTTGGAAAGGATGGTCTTCTGCTTCCTCTACTTACCTTTAGGTTGTAGGAAATGGAGGAATGGGGTACAATTATAACTACTATTACTCCCATTCCTCCGTTCCCTACTAACCAAGGGTAAGTCTGGTCGACACACCTGCCAGCACTGGAACCGGCGTCCAAGCACAAAAGGGTTGCGGGTTCTCGCTCAATTCGGCGTGGTCGTGTGGGCCAGCCGGCGCATGCACAATTCGGAATCTCCTGGCAATAGCACAGCCAGTGCTTTCCTAGACCTCTGAAAACTGGTTCCTCTAAACCCAGAAACACTGGAAACCCATAGAGGGTCTTTCGGGGGGATCTCGATCCTCTGCTATGTAATCTCCTTGGACCCACAACATAAACACAGGTTGTTTCACAATCACGTGGGTTGCAACTTGTCCTTAAACCCAAAACCCGAAAAGCCTTCCCCACCCCCCAACGGAATCCTAAACCCGAAGAGGTCTAGAAACAAAGACCCGGCAGTGCTTGGGGGCATTCGCTGGAGAGCTCGAAAAGTCGGGTTCAGCGTTGAGGATGTGGTTGAGGGTTGAGGCTTTTGGTTAAACATAAAGTTTAGGATTTCGGGTTGAGGGTCTTAAGGTTGGTCAGGACAAGACATTTTGAGCTTGCATCTTTGACGACTGGCTTCTGCAAGGAGCGAGTTCGTTTTTTGTTCGGTTGAAAGCAGGCAGGGTGTGCGGACCATGGAAAAAATCCTACTTCGGAGGCGTGCTGTCAACGCCCGAAGATGCCAAAGCCCTTGCCGCTGTAAGTTTTGAACCCACAGACCAAAACAAGCCTAAACCCTAAAGCCCTGCCCTATGCTTCCACGGACCTTATAGTTAGGGCCCTAGACCCTTTAAGGACCCAATATTAAGGTCCCTGGAAGGCCAGGGCTACAACAATGAAACCCTGTTGCCGACAGCAGAGGCTTCTCCTTTCGCTTGGATAGCAAGAAAAGACACCACACACTTTAGTCCTCGCCCCGGTAAACACAAATCTTGAATCCTAGCAACCTTGTATAGATACTATGTGATTTTATTATGTATGAGCACTCAGAACCCGGAATCGAACCTCACTAGAACCGCATCAGCAACCCCTAAATATCCTTAACTCAACAATCTTCTGCAAAACGTACTCCTAGAAAATGCTCATAGAACCTTCCCTAAGCCCTCAAGAGAGACGGAACCTTGATCCGCACCGGCCTCTGAATACGCTGCTGAGGGGTTCTCGGAGTGAAATGGCTTTTTGGAGAACGGGCTTTAGGGCTACGCGTCCATGAGGTTTACGGCGAGGGTTCAGGGCGTAGGGTATGGTTAGGGGTTTGGGGTTTAGGCTAGGGTGTATTGTTGGGTGTATATGAAGTGCGGGAGTTCATATGTAGCCTGGTTTAGGAATGTTCAGGCTATGCATGATGTGCATGTTCTTGGGGGTCAGTCTTGGTGACTGCAGCATTGAGGTTGAGGGGAATCGCAGGCGTAAGAGTTGAGAAATGTGAGTGATGTAATTTGAAGCTCAGCATTTAGGAGTCAGTGTCTTGGGTCTACCAGGGTAGCCTACAGTCTGCAATGTTGTTCCCTTTTGTGTACCAGTTCTATGCCTAGGGGTTTAGCCGTTTAGCCTACAGAGGACTCTGGAAACTGTAGGTACTGTTCAGGATCAAGGATTCAGGTCTACTAGTTGGTGATGGTGATGCGGATGACGTTGGCAGGGAGGCAAGGATGAGATCGAGCTAATTTAGCAACCTGGATAGCTAGCAACACTCATTTCGAGAACTCTCTGTTGCATTTATCGTGTTTGAGGCTTTAAGGCTCATTTGTGATTTGTTTGACAGGTTTAGGGTGCCGTGTGTGTGTGTGTGTGTGTGTGTGTGTGTGTGTGTGTGTGTGTGTGTGTGTGTGTGTGTGTGTGTGTGTGTGTGTGTGTGTGCGTGCGAAGCTCCTTCTTTGCAGTCTCAAACCGTCGAAAGATTATGGGATTCTCGAGCGGGCTCGTGTGTTGGGCTTCGGGTGTATGGAGCTTAGCATGTATTCTAGGGTGAGCGCTTTGGGGGAAGGCTATCATGGCTTCACCACTCCTCTGAACCCCAGATTCTGGACCTATTACAAAACACATAACCGTACATCATAAACCCCGATCCAGTTTAGTCATCCCCGATCCAGTTCGTCCCAAGTCCTTGACACCTTCGACGCGCGCCCACAAACACGATGTGAGCATTGGCAGTTGCCTTCAAAGAGGAGTGCATAACAACTATAAAGCTTCTACACCTGATACTGGGCCCCAAAACCCTATTCTAATTATTAAGGCCTCTTAATCTTGGTACCCTTATGGCATCCCTTATAGTAGCCCTTATAGACCCCTTTTAAAGGAACCCTCTACAAGCCCTGTTTGCCAAGGTCATGTCCTCTTCGGCAGCGGGAGCTCTCGGAAGCCTTTTGTCGAAGTCCTCTCCGTCGACAAGGACCGTTGGCTTGCAGACTACTCAAAGGGTCATGGGACTTAGTAACTAGGGTTATAATTCGGGTAACTGTACTAGCCTATTATTACTTATAACCCCAACTAGGGTACTTATAACCCTACCTACTATAATCCTCCAAGTAATACAGGGGCTTAAATAATTGCCCATGGTACTCCAGGTTCCTTGTTATAGTTATAGTATCATAGGCCCCAAAACCCCCTATACTAGGTCTCAGAGTTTTTAGCGCTGTGATTCATTTTTGTGAGCTGGGGTCTCCTTCTCAGAGTTAATTCCGATCGGAGTTGACAAAAAAGAAATAGGGTACCCGGGCACCCTTTTTCAAGAGGATGCCGAGGAACGAGGAACGTAGCAGTGTGTCTCGGCTATCGGGGCTGACGGCGCTTGGGCTGTGAGGGTTAAGCTTAAGGGCTGTTTTTTCGGGCTTGAATTATACTGTGTGTTAGACTATACTACTGCAGTGTAGTATATAAGACGTGATGATCTTGATATTATACTTCATGCTTGTTCTATTTAATTTCATAGTTTTTTGTATTAGGTCACGTTAATATCTTGTATTGTCTTGTCTTGCCTCGTCGGGTACGGCAAAGACTTGACTTGTCTCGTGGTGTACAAGTTATTTGTGGCATGTCCACCTTAGGGTTTTCGCTCAGCCGTTGAACTGCCCTTGCACTGTGCGACGAAGTCTTCTTGCGGTCCTACACCCTAAAACTCCAGGCCCAAAGCCCTAGTCTACCAACTGTGAGTGCAATGTAACAGCAGGCCGCCCGAAGCGACGGATGCACCAGAGGCCGGTTGATGACAGAGAGAGGTTCTGACTTTCGCTGTCAATGTTCTAGGCTTCAGTGGGACTTTCGGGAAAAAGGGGACCCTGATATAGTACCCTAAAATAGTAGGAGCCTTATTATAAGGACCCGTAAATAAGGTGTTCGAGCTCAGATCCGAGAAGCCTCAAACACGAAGAGCCCTAGGATGCCGGCTTCTGAGGACCAGGTTACGAGCCCACGGTTTAGGGTTTAGGGTTCAGGGTTTAGGGTTTAGGGCAGCGAACTCGCGGAAAAACCAATGCCTTCGGGGCTGAAACCACGAAGCCCCTCCCCGTTTTGACATTCAGCCCGCAGCACTGGGGTATGAGATGTATGATCACCCATCATCAATCGTAGTCCTGTCCATGCATCACTCCCTCCTTGGATCACGGTAGCGATGGACAACCGCATGTCTGATTGAGTGGTTCATCATGCTAGTAGACACAAGGCTTCTGCTCAAGTCTATCAGTTGGGGTGCTGGAGAGGGGCTAAGAATGTGGAGTGACAGTGGCAGAAGAGCGGGGCAAGATGCCCGGCAAGAACAGAAGGGACGACAAGCTTCTGGAGAGGGACACAACCGAGGTGCGTTTCTCCCTGACGATCATGCGTCCATTCCATGTGTATACCACTCCTGTAAGTGTGAATTGAAGCATGCGAGACAGTACCCACTCGTCACGCCCTAGAGCAGCCAACGGTGGATCAAAAAGAGCACCGGTCGGACGCTCTGTTGACCGTGAGAGATACATAAATCCGTACCCCATAAAAGGGCCGAGTACTCCTTGTCGTGTCTTCTCGTTCCGGTGTAGGTAACACAGAACCATAGAGATGCGAACAGTGGACCCGCGAAAAGGCCGCCTCTCACACAACACAGTCACTTTTTGTGAGTTGCGAGTATAAACCTTCATATGGAAATCAAAAGGGATCCTACAAAAACTAGGCTCTGGTTGCTGAGGAACTAGGGCGAAGTCTTGGTCGTTGAGCCCTCAGCCCGAAACCCGAATTGACCCGTAAAAAGCATACATGTTCGGAAGCACGTCTTGGACCCCGGATGTTAAAAACCCTAAAGCCCTGGACCATAAACTCTAGATCTTAAAGCCCTAAAGCCCCAAGCCCGAAAATCCCTGACTCTAGTCTAGGTTGTGGGCAAGCATCTGTTGACTCGAGGCCTCCGCAAGCACCGAGCCGGTTCCAAAGAAGTCGCAGCTAGGCTTAAACCGAGGTGCGAAGGTTTCTCGATACTCGGTATGCTGGGTTTTCTAAAGATGCAAACCCCGCAAGAAACTCGAAAGGTGCGTTTAAATCTTTAGCATCATTGCTCTTGCTCCTTCCCTTGCTCCTGATCCTTCTCTTGCTCTTGCTCCTGAACCCTCCATGGGTTTTCAAGGCTGCGATGCTTTTTCTGGGAAATGCGATCACGCGGCTTTATGGCTTCCTACAGGGTTGTTTAGGAGTTTAGGGTGTGATA